TAGGTCATTGATTACATAATTTGCATATGGTTACAATGCTTGACAATCCATTCTTTTTAATTGAGTCTAAATTGGAAAATACTCCTATAATCCTTTTCATAAATCAAAGGATGAATAATGGAGGAAGTATTTGATTCTCCAATGCTGAAATTTTTTTACCTTTTTGCTGGTAGGAAGATGCTATCTGAGAATAAGCATGTCAAGTACCTCTACATTCCATACACTGACACTGTTGTGGTTGTGACATGCAACCCTGTTTCAAAATGGAGAGGTCCACCCAAGTTTAAACCCAAATATACTAAAGATGAGGCTATGCAGCATGTTCGTGAGCTCTACAAGGAATCTCTAAAGAAGTACAGGTACTGCTATTGTCTTTAGATGCTTATCCAATTTGTTGCAAAATTGGGCCGATGAAAATGGTGGTCCTGTTTCTTTGTGCCTTGTAACAGCCTGGCTGGAAATTACTATTTTTCACCTTCTTGAATCTTCTTTTAGATAATTATATTTATTAGTTTTATACTGGTTTGAATAGCGTTGTTGGAGTTACGGAGAAAAGGTGAGGAAAAATAAACTTGATAGATTACATGTATGACTGTTTTGAATTTGGTTTCTGTCTCTGTTTTAAGTTTCTTACTATTGAATTTCTTGTTCACTGTCAATATGGTTAATGGGCCTTAGTCAGGGACCCATTTGGATTGGTTGGGCAGGAGCTGTTGCCTGGAAAGTGCAAGCTCTGTTGTCTCTTCTTTTTTATTGTTTAGGGTATTATATTTTTCTGGTCCCTATTATCCATATGATGAAAACTTGCATAACAGTGTCTATGTTCGATATGGTGGGGAATAGCTGCAGAGAAGGGGCATCTACATTGTTCGATGGAAGAAAATGCGAGCAATTGTTCACATTTTACTGACCAGTTTGAATTACAATAAACCTATAAAAATGAAATCAACCAAAACCCTTTTTTCATGCGGAGTTAACCGCAGAATGAGCGAATTTCAACACAGGACCTTCTTTTTAAGGGAGTGGCATGGCTACCAATTAGGTTATGCCTTAACCTAATTTCATGTTAATTCTGGTTTGGTCTTCAAACTGCTAGGAACCATCCTTCTATTTTGTGTTTATCACAAGGGGATTATGTAACCTTTTTGGTCATGTAGTTTTTATTTTTTTTTCCCTGTTTGTTGTAATGGATCGATATCCACTTCTTATATGACTTTTGTTATGTTTATGTGTCAATTACAGATTTTCAGTCAATTACTGGCTTAACTTGGTTTTCTGCAGGGCTAGAGAAATAACAACTAAATCTCCTGACAGCAATGAACCAGACATAAATGAGTTTTCATTCACAGAGTTAAGAGATAAACTGCTTTCTCTTGATCCTCTCAACAAAGATCATGTAATGAAGGTTAATAATGCTGAGGCCGAATTCTGGAGGAAGTCGGAGGGATATCGAGTTGGATGGAGTGATGAAATCTTGGGCTTTGATTGTGGGGGGCAACAATGGGTATCAGAAACCTGTTTTCCTGCTGGAACTCTTTCCAAGCCTAGCATGAAGGACCTTGAGTACATAGAAGAACTGAAGCAACTCATTGAGAAGCAAGAGATACCTGCTCCTGCTCCAATAGAGCAGCGCTGGACAGCTTGCAGCCAGAGCCCAATGAGTCCTGCTTCAAGCTCAGCAAAAGATGACATATTCTCATGGGTAATTTTTTTCCTTTCATTTTCTTTCTTTTATTTGTCTTCTTTGGTTTTTCAAAATTATCGAGGAATGGGCAGTGTCAGGGGTTGCCTTCTTCCAGTATGATCTAAAATGTGCACTTGCTATGGTAGTTGGTTTTAGTTTTGACTTTCTGAAATTTTGATATTACCTTCTCAATTTGAGTTTCATAGCCTATATTGCTCCAACTCTTTATTTTCCTTAAAGTACTTGTATCTGACTCATATCCGGTGGACATGAGTATGGAAATCTGACTCTCCCAATATACGGAAAAACTTGGAAGAAATTGAACTGACCCATTTACCAGTTCTAACACTTACCCCCGTGTCCAAGTAACAGTGGCCATAGCAGCTATTTATATTTCCCTTACTGGATGACAAAATTTTGAATTGCTTTCAATGTTTCAAGTTTGTATTATTCTTATTAGGATCAAATATTTTGTTGGGTTGTCTTCTCTATAAATTGATATTCAAATATAGAGCTCCCCTGCCATCCATATAGATTAAACTATCTTAAGTTTTAGCAGGAAATATGCCATAAGATACAACTTCAAGTTCATACGTGCACGCATATTGGTTTAACTTTTTGCATATCAATTCTGGTTAACTTTCTTTTCAAGCTGAACATGTGAAATTGTACGTACTTGGTTTCATCCTGCTGACAGCGTAGCTTATGTACTAATTAGCAAGAATGAACAATTGATAGAAATTAAAAAATGTTTATTATACCTATTACGAAACTCTGAGATAAAGAAAAGATAAACCTTTGTTGTTTCCCAAAATCTTTCACATAGGGGAATAATTTTTTCAGGTGAAAATTTGTTAGAATACATGAAAAAAAAGAACTATTGCTATGGTTGAGAATATGAGTTTGGGACAATGGATTTGGATTTGATTTATTATATAGATTGTGAGTGATAAAGGTAAACATTATCTAAAAACTAGTAATGATTCAGTACACCAATGGATCTGAGAGGGTATAAGTAGATAAATTTCAAATTTCCAAAGTCATATGTATTTCAAATTCACCACTGAATAGAGATATAGCAAATCCTTGAATTTTCTAAAATAATCAAGAAACTCATATTTTCATGAGTTCGATCTCCCACTTTTTACTAAATTTGGAATCAGGTAAAACCTTGCTAGACATGGATGCCGGAGTTCTAAAGAGTCAGATACAAAATTTGGAATCTTGTAAAACCTTTGACACTTTGAAACTCAAAACTAGTTTCAATTTCTTAGAGTTTTAGTTAACAATGAACTTACTGTTTCTTTTCTTGATACAATCAACGTAGTGCAAAGGGTCTCCTTTGTGTACTGAGTACATAATGTTTTTGGGTGAATTGCTTGCACTTCTCCTATCTAAATCTGCTTCTCTTTTCTTTTTTTATCAGGTTGGTATAATCATGTACCTTCCTACAATGGATGCCCGTCAGAGAAAGGAAATAACAGAAGAATTCTTCCACTACAGATATCTTACACAGGCACAGTTGTGGGATAAATATTCCGCATATGAACATTGGGCTAAGATTGAGGTAGTGAATTTATCTTGAAAAATATTCTGTTTAAGATTGTTTAAGAGTAAAATCACAGCCATGATCTATATAGGGTCTGGATTATCTGTAGATGATTGTTTGTATTGTTTGTCTAATCATAAGGTTTCTTGAAGTACTTGCATTCACCAAATTCAGTTTGAAACTGTCAGTGGGTGTAAGGTGTGGAGTTTCAATGCCTGATGGTTTGATTTTCTTTTTTAATTAAAAAAGCAAATACTTGCTCCAAAGTTCTTATTTAGAAACTACAATTGGAAATTAGCGATTCACTTATGCGGATATATTGTGATCAATACGGTCCTTAATTCATTCCTTGAACATTAGTTCTGTGAAAGTTTGTAGGGTCATATGTTTGAGTGTACGTCTGTGTGAATCCTATAAATGTTATGCAGAAATCAGGTTAACCTTTCTGTAGTGTATACTTCTTTGTGTATGCACTTGATCATGTGTTTTTAAGGCTGAATTTGGGATATTTATGGTGTCAATATCATACCGAAGTTGACTTTAATAAGACTGTTGCTGCTTGTTTAATCATAAGTGATTCCATGCAATGAACAGGTTCCAAAGGACAAGGAAGAACTTGAATCTCTGCAAGCTAGGCTCAAAAAACGTTTTCCAGTGGAGGCATATGACAAAGCACGGAGGGAATTGGATCCCAACAGGATTCTTTCTAATAACATGCTGGAAAAGCTGTTCCCATTATCAGATAATGTTTGAAAAGTACACCCTATTGGTTAGTTCTTTATTCATTTAAAATCTTAAGAATTAAAATGCATTTGGTCTGTTCCTTTGGCTAATTTAGCGGAAGCATCTTTGGCACTAAGCTTGTACACCAGAATGGAAGGATATAAGGAGAATTCTGTGTATTTACAATTTATACATATAATAAGTTGTTCCAAGTGTCAGTATTTATTGATGCTACCCAACATGCTATAAAGATCGGCTGTATCTGTGGTCGGTAGGAAGAAAAATGAAGTTTGAGAGTGATGTCAGAACTGTATGATTGAGTCCTATCTTAGGAGATCTGAAGGTTTGGGACTAAAAGTTCATAAATTTATCTTGTAATTTAAAGTGCAAGCCAATTAATGGTTCAAGGTTAAGCAATATGCTTTGCCTATACAATATGTATTTATTGACTGTCTCCTTCGGGTATTGGATGGGTGATTTTCTTTCTTTCTTTTTTTATTATTTTTTTTATTTTTAATCAAATACCATTTGGTTGAGTCGTTTAGCATTATGCAATGTTTTTGAGGTTAGTGGTGTTTGGTTTTCAAAATTTTAAGATTTTTAATGGAAAACAAATTTGAACTTTAAAACGAAACGATTAATTAAAATATCTTTATGAAGTGTTAATTTTAATAATTTTTTACATTTTTATTTTATTTTTTCATAGTTCATAAAATTGTAAAAAAGATATTATTTTTATGTTTATTTTTTATTTTGTTGATTATATTTGTTTTTTATTCTAATTAACAAAAAATATCTTTATTTGATTGATTTTCTCTTGTAAAAATTTATGATTTACGTTAATAAAATTAATTATTTTATTTTTTCTTTTATTAAAAATATACTAAAATATTATGAAATAACATCAACATTTTACAATACTTATGTATTAAGTTTGCCAAACTAATTTTAATTCTTTTATAACATTTTTAGAACAATTCTACTTGAGAAGCAGGTTATAAAAATTTCAACCGGACCAAACAAACCTTTAGTATTAATAAACAATGGGCCAAATAAAACTTTAGTATTAATAAACCGTAGGCTTTTTGTTTCAGGTGAACTCAAACTTGTTCCTGCTACTGAATAATATATGCCTTAAATTAAGCCTCGAAATCTCTCTGTTCCAGGAAACATATGCAGAAATGTCAAGAGTAAATTAAAGAAAATCATTAAAATAAAGATGATGAACATGGGTTTAACCAAAAAAAAAAAAAAACAAAGAAAACCTCCATATATAGATTCCTTAGCAGATTCAAGACTTCCCTACTTTATTGCAACACATGACCAAACTCATAGAATACCAGTAAATGCGGCAATCGACGGTATTCAACCAAAGATAGGCATCATGATTCTTGAAAGCATTATTTAGAGGCAAGTTTCGCAGAGCCAACAGCAACAAAGCGCGAACAGGCTGCAGTTGTAAGATGGCAGCAAAAGAAAAGGCTCTTGTTATTAGATTGAATGAAGAATATAAGACGTGATGGTATTAATTTGTTGGAATGCCTCATCATCATTTAGTAACTAGAAATGTATTCATCTTTTTGATAGAATTTTGCAGGCATATAATTTGCAGAACTACATATTTTTGTTGCAGAAATTGATATGATAATGTGTCTCTTACCATCCCTCAATGAAGCTTCTGTCTCCTTTCTTCTTTCTTCGAGGGAAACATTTGTTCTTAGTAGGTGGATCCCCAGTAGGATATCCTTCCATCAAAAACACAAACAAAAGTAAGTTCTCAAATCTCCCATCATGAAAATAATTATCTAGAAAGTACTGTCAATAGAATTGGATGTTTTGGTTTTGGAGGAGAGTTGGAACCTGCCGGGGGTTGATTCTCTTGTGCCTCTGCCTTAGGCATATTGGAATATAAACACAAAATCTAATTTGCTGGTTATGAGTTTCTTGGTGACTGACTATTGTATCAAGGAGGTTGTAGAGATGATAAAAGTTTGGCACCTACCTATCATTTTATATACTATAGATTGTGTAACAGTGGAACTAAATCCTATAATTACTTTTCTAGGGACTGTAATTAAAATAATAGTGTCAGTGGCTTAATTCAATTAGGTTTTATCTGGTGCATCAACATTTGTTTGAAACTACAAATAAAACTAAAACCAACCATACGTTGAACCCCACCTGATGACATGCAAAAAGTAAACCAAAGGCTACACCCAAAGAGAAAACACCACCAAGTAGATGAGTTGGATTTTGATTCCTTCGTCAATAAGGAAAAACAAAAGAAGGGAGGAAAAAAAACCAAAAGAAGAAAAGTTTCCAGCTACTTCTGCTAACGAATATATGCTTTGGTTCACAAGCACACCACCGAAAGAAGTTTTAAAATTGTTAACAAATTCCTCTGCGTTCATGCAAGGATTTAAAATATAGGTGGTGCAATGCTGGGCTGCTGCTTGATTTCGGAAGAATATATCTTTGATCTTCTTTATTCCCACTTCCTGTGGGTAGAAAAAGAATATATTGATTATATGCATATGTATGAAAAGAATATACATATATATTAAATAAATAAATAAAAGATACTGTTAACAGTTTTATAATTTACTGGTAGAATATCAAATTTTTAGTTTTAATCAGTGATGGTGATTCAAATGTTGACAGTATCAAACACAAAAAAATAAAAATAAAAGCACTAATTAACTGATTAGTAATTACACGTGGCTTCATATTGATTCTCCGTTGATATGTGACTTCATTCCCTAATTCCCTTTGTTTATTTCTTTGATTTATGGTAATATACAGCAATCAAGTACACAGGGAAAAAGTCAAATCCAATCCTTTTTTTTTTTTTTGGGTAAAAGGATGCAATATCTAACCCAAGTCTCATCAATGGCCTTAAAATCATATTTGAAAAAGCAGCTGGCACTATAAGAATCTCTTTTTTTTTTTCTCTTTTCTTTTCTGTCATTCTGTATCTAGTTTCTGTATGTGGTCATATCATTGTAAAAGTATAAAGTTTCGTTTGTAGAAGTTTGTTTTATAAAGATAAATTTTATATAAATCATCGTTAATTTTGAAATGAGATAATTTCTTTTCATCTAAATTTTTTAATAATAAAAAAAAAAAGCATGATGAAGTAAAAGGATCTCACTTTACACTTGTATGGCTTCTTTTGTAAAGATATGGGGGAATATTATTGTCAAGTAGATGAGAAATAAAGGATAAAGGAGGTTCCCTAGGGACATCTAACTTGAGATTTCAATCTATAAGGCTGGCATTTGAATCTTATGATGGTAGGGATGAAAGTTATGGGTTTGAAAGATTACATTTCATTATTGCTAGAATATTGACTTTGTGTTCACATTGGGTTACCTTTTTATTTTTCAAAAATATTTACGGAAAATCTTAAGTTAACAATATTACGAATAATAATAGTAATTAAAGAGCAAACTTTTTTAAATTTTATTTTAAAGATAATAATTAAAAGATAAGATGAAAATATTTACTTATACAAACCAACACATAAGAATATTAGCTTAAATATTTAAGTGATATATCATGTGATATTAGATTAGATTCAGTATACTTATTTTTTAACAAACACTTATATTTTCAATTTAAATATATCTATACTTCAACTTATGAGATTAATTGTTTAATTCATAAATAAGAATATAAATGTGTATCGATCTCAAAAATTTATATTAATATCCACTTCATGATAAAGTATTGATTAGGGATGATTTTAGGAATGATACTTTAATACAATAAACATCTTATAATTATAACTTATTTGTAATTCTCTTTGTAAAGCATAATTATTCTATGGATCTTACCTTATAAAATGAGTATAGAATTGAATAAAACTAGAAGGTAAGAATGCCTTTTATTATAAATAAAATGCTAAATACAACAAATCATTCTACAGCCAATCCGATTAGTTACAGGGCACATACTAAGGCTGCTTATATATGATGTGATCAAGGGCACTTGGGACCTCCTCTCTTGGTCTTCCAATTGTTGTAGCAAGGGCAGACTTGCTTGTTTCCGTAAGTTCCGGGTGGCACACACAAGCACTTGGCGCAGCACTTATTGCAGAAGAACAAGCATGGCTTCTTGTATTGTGTCCTTGAACATCTTGAACTGCACCGAGGAGCACACTCTGCGATATTGCATTAAGCATTGCAACCCATAAAATCAAAATTGTCAACTATATATATATATATATATATATATATACGCTTGCAAGCAAATTTTATATCCAACTTCATTAGTGTATTTTATAAAGACTAGTGTTCGATGAGCTTGTTCACCTTGTGGATGAAGGCTGCCTTGAGTTATTCCATGCTGAAAGCCAAAGGAGATCAACAACATGATTAACATTGGGAACATAAGGGGAAACAGATATAGGAGAGGAGATGTGCCCATGCACATATTACCATGGTAAAGTTGCTGGGTGGCTGGGGCTGTGGAGCAGGTGCCTCACTAATGCTGGTAGCAGCCTGGGGATACATATCGAAGCCATTTTTAAAATTAAAATTGTATATATGACAGTTAAAATTAATTAGAATAACTACCTTAAGATGTTATTTACTATGTTAATTTTAAACAAAAAACAAATATATCTTTTGTTAATTATTAATCATTTATTTCCCTATGTGTATATATATTTCTTTTCATTTCTTAATTTTGCTTAATACTTTTTTAATTTAACTACAAAATAATGAGAATTTAAATAGTTTTAAAATTATATTTAATTACTATCAAGTTAAATTACAATTAAGTTATATTTTAATTTGAATACATGTTAAATATTTTAAACCATCTTTAATTCAATTTTATATTAATTTTGAGAAGAACTTATTAAATTATCTTTATTTAAAATAAATTAATTAACATTCTTTAAAAACAGTTTTAGTTATAAACAAACTGGTTAAAGATATTAAAAAAAAAAAAAAGGAAAGAAAGGAGAAGACATAAAAGAAAATATAAGTATCATTTTATTGAAAATAAACTTGAACCTATTAGTTTGAAAAACATATTTTATCTCATTTGAAAAAGTAACTAATGTAAGAATTCCATCAATCAAACTAATAATTGTTCTAATTTTAGTTTAAATATTGAAAATACCCTCAATTTTTTTTTTTCAGATTTAAACAATTTCTTTATCACTAAACCCTTCTTAAATAATCGTAATTACTGTACTAGTAATAATTAAGTTTAAAATGGTCCCAAAAAAAAATAAAATATGACCGAGAAAGCAAAATATATATACATATACACTAAGAGAAACTCACATTGTTCTCTGCTAGTAAAAGTAGCATGATAGCAAGCAAGAACATCACAATAGTTAGCTTCCCTGCCATTGCCTTAGTAATGCAACTGAACCGAAGCAACTGACCAGAGAGTTTTTGAGGCTGCAATCAAGGCTCTTAGGCCCTTAAGGAGGGGTATTTATAGGCTGTTGGAAGCCATAGGTTGAAGATTTGAAGAATATTATGTGTCTTATTCACGATAAGGGTCCGAATATACTACAGTTTGAGACAGCAGCACATGACCAAACCCTCCTGCCTTCCAAAAGGACAACTATACCTCTGTCCTTTCTAATGGTGTACCCTATACATATAACGGTATATATACCTGTACGTTTTTTAAACATTAGTTTTGTGCTACCAAGTTCCATGATTAATCAAGGTTAAAGTGGTCATTAGATTTTGAAAACTAGAGGTCGGAACATTCCAATGGTTTCGTTAATTTGATTCCAACCATGTGAACCGATAAACGAAAATGACATGAGAGCTACCTTTCCATGTGAACTCACATGTTTCTATATGGTTCTGTGATAATGGAGTCCCAACAGACACGAACTAGAACAACAGATAAGATTAAACAAAACCATATATGGTCCATGCAGAAACCATAAACGTAACACTCTCAATTCTCACTCCTAACTGTTTGTTTGTTTGTTTCTTTTGTTTTTGTTTTTATTTTCATCCCATTTCTCACACTGTATCCGATTCTCGTGACCCTTTCTTTTAGTGTTGCTCGGACCTGTACGATTCATTGGTGATCTTGGAAATTTAAGAAAGATAAGACCTAGGAGGAGCCAGCTGCAACTGCATCTGCCGCCCATCCAGTCCATTAGGCCTTAGCCCTTAGCCATCATCTCTGTTTACCGCTTATGTTATATGCTTTTGCTTAATTTGCTCTCGTGAACTATCTATGCTGGACCTGCTGGCTGTTTGTTAATTTGTGTTTTAAAAATATTAGGAATATATAGAATGGGACAGTGACAAATCGTATAGTTTGTCTGGTATGAGAAGATGGCACTGTCGACTTTTTTCTTCCTTTTTGGTGAACAAAATTCTGGGGCAAATAATAGACTGCTTCATCATCCACCTCACAGCAGCATAGTTGTGCAGTGCCTCTTTTCGTCTTAAAGAAGTGCTTATATGTTGTATGGAGCAGTGACTAACCAATACAATTAATGGAGGAGAAATAGAGAAACTTTAGGTAAGACACTAATTTCATGAAACTATTTTAAGAATGATAGTTTTCCTATTACGATGAAATGGACTTTTGAAAACGTTATCCTCAGCATATAATGCATAAATCAAAGAAGAATAGGATTTACATTTCAAATTCTTACTGTACTCAATTGAATAATGAACTATGAAAAAGAGTGACAGAGAATGATTTAATTCATCAAGTAATTGAATGTAAAGTCATGTTAAATGAATGTTAATTGAAGTATTTATAAGTCCAATAGGTGTTTGAAATATCTATGAGTAGGCATCTATTGCTGAAGAATCATTACTTTTTGAATGAAGTATCATGTCCAATGAACTGTGTTTTTATTTTCTAATAATAAAATAGCCATCTTTAAATATATCCACTTTAGCCATAGGATCATTCTAAGTTATTAAACCTACAAAATAAAGTTCAAGTTTTAATACCAATTATTATCTCAAATTTAGATAGACGATCCAAAAAAACAAAAAAGGAATTGGATTAATTTTAAAATAAATTAAATTTCAATACGTAGAAATATAAAAATGACAATAGAAGAAATATATATGAAAACTTAACCCCAATTAAACTTAAAATTGAATAAAGGAGAAGGGATATATAGAAAACTTAAAACATAAAAATCTTTAGGAGTTCAGTTATTCCTCGAGGCACCAATATCTTTTTCCTTAGCTTCTTTTATTGAGAAATTCAATCCACTGTATCCTCAACCTTACAACTACTTTTTCAATGCTAGGTTTTACAATTTCACTCAAACCCTTAATAGTTCTATCAAAATTCTCACAAAATCATTTAGGGATTCACTCACCTTGAACTCACAATATTAATGTGTAAGCAAAAGTTTTTGCAAACTAAATAACCTCGACTGGGTGTTTGTTAATATATTACAAGGAAAGACAAATGAATATGAAATAAAGTTTGGATACATTAATTACAAAAGAATATAGGATTAAAGCTCTAAAACACATGAAAGCTCTTGATTGATAGCTCTTACAAATGATGTCTTTTAACTTCAATGATAATGGAAGAGTGTCTTTTATAGTTGAAATGAATTTGAAACCGTTGCGATTGAAAGAAAGAAAAAAAGAGATGTTGATTTGCATCAAATTCTGCACGTTGATTGTTTTCAAGGATACAAGGAAAACGATCCTGGTATCGATCCCTTCAAGTTTAAATGAAAGAACCAAGGATCAATCATTTCAACATATCAAGCCAAAGGATCCTTTTGTGTGGACAGAAGATCGATCCTTACACCAAAAGGATCAATCCCTATGCTTACCGAGTCAAAATTAAAAGGCCAGGGATAATTGATCTTTAGATCAGATTCGTAGCCCTTAGGGACTGTTCTATGCGTAGAATGGATCGATGATCAATGCTTTCTTCACAAAAACCAAAATTATGTGCATTTTCTCTTTGGCAAAGGTTAACTTTTACTTTAAAAATTGTTTGACCAATATTGTGCATTCGAGAACTTCTGTTTTAAAGATAGAAAATTAGTCCAAAATATTGGAGCAAATATTTTGATTTTCTAAAGCAAATTTCAAAGTCCAAAAAAGTAATAATACTTATAATTATTTATAATTAACATGTTGGACTTCATTTTAATTCAAAATCAATTGAAAAGACTAGGTTTTATTTGATAAGAAAAATGATACAATTTGAAAAGTTTGTATTAAATAAACATTGTCAAAATACAACTCAATGATGAGAATATTTCTTTGATTTTCATTTTTTTTTTCATTTGATTTTTTAAAGAAATATTAAAGCTCAATATCATTTTTCTTATCAAGAATGAAAGTTCTAATCAAGTAAAGCACATTTAAAATTTTCTTTCTCAAAATTATATTATATTCAAGGAAAATAAATTTTTTTTACTATCAATTTAAAAATTAATAAAATATTTTGTAAAAATATTATATTAATATGTTTAAAATAAAATTTAAATGAAATAACACGTGAATATTTCACATATAACAAAGTATAAGCGTAACATGCTATGTTAAAAGATATTTAAAATATCCCACATGTATAGTTATATTTAAAATACCAACGTCATATTTTATATTTTATTCAAATTTTATTTTAAATATATTAACAAAATATTTTAGGAACTATTCTATTTTCCTTAAATTTGGTAAAACAAATAACCAAAAATAATAGCTCAATGACAAAATTAAATGAAAAGATGAAAGAAGTCGTCAAAATTCAATGAAATCAAAATAAAAAGGTAAAATTTCAATATTCATTATTCACTTAACCTTTTAACCCTCTAAATATATATATATATATATATATATATATATATATTTTAATCTTAAACTACTATAAAATAAAAGATACCTAAAAAACTACACGGAGTGACCGACGGCCGAGATTCATTTGTTGTGGGAAAGCGCAGTGCTTAAAATCTAACAGCAGAAGTAAACCTGCGAAGCTTTGTAGCCATTAGGCTTTAGAAAGAAGAAAGACCCCTCTTTTCTTGCTTTGACGGACTTAGCGAGTTTGGGTATTTCTTAATTCCTGTGTTTAGGGTTTTTCACATTCTAAATAATTTACTGTTTGTTTGCTGGTTTGCGACTGGTGGCAGCTGCTAATTTCTCATCATGTCTTGGTGCACAATTGAATCCGATCCCGGTATTATTTCTAATTCAATTTGTTTGTTTGTTAAGAATTACTCGTAATTATAAGCTGAAATGCTTTCTTATTCCTTTAAGTTGTTGATGGGTTTTGCCCTTTCTTTTTGGTGTTTCATCAAGGTGTTCAATTTCTTTTTTGGCATATTGGATGAAGTTTCAGAGGGCGAGAATGATTAATGTTAGGCGAAGACTGTGTTGTTAGGCTTCAATTATAACTGTTTTTAAGGTTTTAGGAGTCAAATGCAATTGATTGGTGAAATTGTTAATTTTACCTTTACTTTTTTCTTTTTCTGTGTAATATCTTCATTCAGCTAGAGACATAGTTTAACTGGTTAAAAATGAGTCAGTGAGTGGGAAAGTTTGATGGCCATGAAGGAAAGGTTACGGATAAGAAAGGGAATAACTTGAGGATTTTGGCGTATTAGAGAAACAATTTATCGTATAATGACCACTGGAGGGTGATTTGGGTAAAGATTTTGCTAGGATTGTTTTATAGGATTGCAACGAATGCCTTGTTCAGTGTCCCTTAGTGGCATACTCTTTTTTTCTCTTTTTTTTTTTATATATATATTTTGATGGTTAACATTTAACATATGGAGATATTGGTCCTAATGCATCACACGAGCGGTGCTTCATTGTTATCTGATTATTGTCAAGGTGTTAGATGATTGGATCATCTTGTTGTTCTATTCATTAGATTTATATGATTTTTCAAAGTGCAACATAGAACATGTCTGTCATTAATGGAAGAATACAAAATAACAAAAAAAAAAAAGCATGTTGATTTCATGACAATGCTAGAGCCAATCCCTGCTATTTAAAGACTCTATAATAAGATAGATTGGAGCCTTACTGGTTGTTGATGATTAGAAATGAAGTCCTTTTACACTTTTCGAAGGCCTATCATTGATCCTTGACTAGAGAAAATTTGGTGACCCTTCATTTGGCATTAATAAGCATTTTCTAGAAGCCTAACAAAGGCCACTTGGTTTAGATTGAGTTCTTAGGTAGTTCTTTTTAATTCTTTGCTTTTTTGCTACTTGTATAATACTTTCAGCATGGGGTTGTGTTTCATTATTCTTTGGCATACGATTTGTTTTGTATATCTTATATCTGTTAGTTGAGATTGCACATGTTAACATGTTGCATCAATTAAATAATTGTCTTTTAGTGCTCTTCTTGCTTATTTTAGGTTGTGATGCTTTTTGGATGATCTGTTTTGAGATTTAAGCTTGAAGAGAATGGTTTTTCCCATATGATGCAGGTGTTTTTACGGAACTTATACAGCAGATGCAAGTTAAAGGCGTACAAGTAACGCTTTTTGTTTGTGTCATAACCGTTCCCTTGTTGTTTGTGTTTCTTTTACCTGCTTTATACGGTCGTGATGACCTATGTCTTTGCAGGTAGAGGAGTTGTATTCATTGGATCTTGATTCTCTAAACAATCTTAGGTCAGTTCTTGCTTGGTACTGGCCATTTTACATTTTCACTTTTAAGTCTCTTCCTTTGTAATTTTTCTTTCCTTCATAGGCCTGTGTATGGGTTGATTTTCCTTTTCAAATGGCGCCCAGGGGAGAAAGATGAACGTCCAGTAATTAAGGACCCAAATCCTAATTTGTTCTTTGCTAGCCAGGTTGGTTTCAAATTAATTCATAATTTCTGGAATGACGTATTTGCAAACATCTTCTGAACTTATTGTTCCTGCGTTTTCATAGGTTATCAATAATGCTTGTGCTACACAAGCAATATTGTCTGTTCTCTTGAACTGCCTAGAAATTGAGATTGGCCCAGAACTTTCGAAGTTGAAAGAATTCACTAAAAATTTTCCTCCAGAACTCAAGGGTCTGGCTATTAATAACAGTGAAGCTATACGTACAGCCCATAATAGTTTTGCAAGGCCTGAGCCTTTTGTTCTAGAGGAGCAGAAGGTTGCTGGGAAAGATGATGATGTCTACCATTTCATAAGTTACATACCAGTTGATGGGGTACTTTATGAGCTTGATGGACTAAAGGAGGGACCCATTAGCCTTGGTCAGTGCCCTGCTGGACCAGGTGACATGGAATGGTTGAAAATGGTACAACCAGTAATCCAAGAACGTATTGAGAGATATTCCAAAAGTGAAATAAGATTCAACCTCATGGCAGTTATCAAGAACAGGAAAGAGACATACACTGCTGAACTTAAGGAGCTCCAAAAGAAGAGGGAACGCATCCTGCAGCAGCTGGCTACTATACAGTCAGACAGACTCGCAGACAAAACTAGTTTTGAAGCACTAAACAAACAACTTTCAGAAGTGAATTCGGGGATTGAGGGTGCCACCGAGAAGATTTTGATGGAAGAGGAGAAATTCAAGAAATGGAAAACTGAAAATATTCGTAGGAAACACAACTACATACCCTTTTTGTTCAACTTCCTTAAAATTCTTGCTGAAAAGAAGCAATTGAAACCCCTCATTGAGAAAGCTAAGCAGAAAAGTGGCAACCCTAGGTGAAATGTTTCTTATTTTCATTTTCATTTCTTGGTTGACTGTATCCTTAATCCAAACTTAAGGTTTAGTATCACTAAAGCACATGTTCAGTTTAGGATTCAAAAAAACACTACATGAAAGTTGTTTCAGCCAATCCCTAACACCCTTGTTAGGGGGGATCAACAGTCTACACCAACAAACACATGGGGTTGGACGATTTGTTGCTGTAGTGCCTTTGAGCCCACGCAATAATACTCCTGAGTGGCTCTACTATCATTCGTCACCAGTTCGAATTTCATCTTAAAAAGATTAGCTTGTTAGCTGAAATGGCCAAGATCATCCGCCCGTTTAAAATCCAAATAAAAAATAATAATGCTATACAAATAAAATTCGAAGCCCATAATTAGATCTCTTGGGCACGGACAGATTAAAACAAGCCCAACCTTTTCGGTAAACTTTCCAGTTTTTCTCTTCTCCCTAAAACCTCCAAAACCTTAACCATGTAAAATTTTCCATTAGCCTTGGTCAGTGTGCCCTAACCGGAAAAAAAGCTAAGAAGAGAAAAGAAACCATGTCTGAGGTTGAGCTCTCTCATTCAGAAAAGAAAAAGCACAAGAAAAAAACCGTACCCGAATCTGCAACCAAAGAATCCGACCAAGATTTCGTGATCAAACCCCAGAGCACCACCCATTCTATCGACACTTCCCAGTGGCCTATCCTTCTTAAAAACTACGACCGCCTTAACGTTCGAACGGGACATTACACTCCTCTCCCCTTCGGTTTCTCAAGCAACCTCTTGCTGAATACATCAGGTACGGCGTTTTGAACCTTGATAAACCCTCTAACCCTTCTTCCCATGAAGTTGTTGCTTGGGTTAAGCGCATTCTACGTGTTGAAAAGACTGGGCATAGTGGAACTTTGGACCCCGAAGTCACTGGGAATCTCATTGTTTGTATTGATAGAGCCACACGTCTTGTTAAATCCCAACAGGGGGCAGGCAAAGAGTATGTCTGCGTTGCCCGTTTGCATTCCAAAGTGCCCGACGTCGCTAAGGTTGCTAGGGCTCTTGAAACTTTGACTGGAGCTGTTTTTCAGAGGCCGCCATTGATTTCTGCCGTAAAATGACAGCTTAGGATTAGGACTATTTACGAAAGTAAGCTTCTTGAGTATGATGCTGATAGGCATTTAGTTGTTTTTTGGATTTCTTGCGAGGCGGGTACTTATGTTAAGACCATGCGTGTTCATTTGGGATTGATTCTTGGGGTTGGTGGTAGTATGCAGGAAATTAGGAGGGTTAGGTCCGGAATTTTAGGAGAGAAGGATAATATGGTGACAATGCACGATGTTATGGATGCTCAATGGGTTTATGATAATTATAGAGATGAGGCTTATTTGAGGAGGGTGATTATGCCTCTTGAAGTTCTTTTGACTAGTTATAAGAGGTTGGTTGTGAAGGATTCTGCTGTTAATGCTATATGTTATGGGGCGAAGTTGATGATTCCAGGATTGCTGAGGTTTGAGAATGATATTGAGGTTGGGGAGGAAGTTGTGTTGATGACTACTAAAGGAGAGGCAATTGCATTGGGAATTGCAGAAATGACGACTGCTGTGATGGCTACATGTGATCATGGGGTGGTGGCAAAGATTAAGAGGGTGGTTATGGATAGGGATACTTATCCGAGGAAGTGGGGTTTGGGGCCAACTGCATCGATGAAGAAGAAATTGATTGCCGAAGGGAAATTGGATAAGCGTGGAAAGCCAAATGATAATACTCTTAACGAGTGGTTAAGATATGTTGTGTTGCCAACTGGTGGGGATTCAATGGTTGCAAGCCTTGCAGCTTCAGCTGAACCTGGTGTGAAGGGTACTGAAACAGGTGTTGTAAAAAAGGAGATTATAGTGATGGAAAAGGAAAAGAAGAAAAAGGGCAAGGATGAGGAAGATGGGGAGGGGCACAAGCGCAAATTGGATGAAAGCAGTGATAGCCCTGTTCCGGTTGTAGCTAAGAAAGCTAAAGTTGATGAAGCAGAAGTAGAAGTTGAGAAGAAAGAGAAAAAGAAAAAGAAGAACGATAAAGAGGATGAAGCTGCAGAAACTGAAGAGAAGCTTGAGAAGGGGAAAAAAAGAAGGACAAAGAAAGGTTGAAGCTACTCCACGAGATACAGAGAAGTCTGAGAAGAAAAAGAAGAAGAACAAAGAGAGTGAGGAGGCTCCTGCTGTTGTTGTTGGTGCAAATGATGCAGGGGTTGATAAAAGTGAAAAGAAGAAAAAAAGCAAAGATGCAGTAGAGGAGTAGATGAGCAGGTTTCAGACCTTTCCTTGGAATAGGAAATCAATTTTTCCTTGTATTTCTGGCACCTACAGTTACTTTTTAGTAGTGTTGGCAGAAACAATTTTTATGATTTACTTTAGTGTAATGGAATTCTTTCATTATCTTCAATATTTTAATATCATTCTCCATTGGTTTTTTCTTTATTCGTTGTCCATCACTCAAACCTCGTGTTAATGTTTTCTCTCTAACCATTTTCAAGAGATATGATTTGCGTTCTAGTCATAATAGCAGCTTATGGAAGAACTGTGAAGGAATTTTGAAGCAAATGTTTGCTACAATTTTAGTTGCCTTTGAGGTTTGCTGATGCTCTCTTCTCTTCTTCCTACCTATTCAGTTGACATTGAGCTCATGTATTCAAAGGGTAGTATTATAGTTCATGGTTTGTTGTTCGAGTGAAGCTTTGAAGCAAACTAAAAAGGTTTTTATTTTCCTCCAAAAATGCTGCAGGAAGAATTCGCGACATGAGATTCAAACCAAAGACTTCAAACTTGGAATTCAGGTTACAAGTTTATATTTTGGTGGAAAAATACATAACATTAATTGTATTTAATCTAATGTTTCAGGCTGTCAAGTGATAAAACTTTGGCAAAAAAGGAAAATCAGATTAAAACTTTGGCTCAAGTCCATCGGGTACAAATGGTTATATTCAAAACTGTACTTATCCAGGTAGAAATGGTATTGCTCTTGCTTGTTTTCCCACCATAAGCATGCTAGAAAATTCTGGTGTAACTTACATCCTCCACTAAATTACCACTTTCAGCCTCTACACTGCTATCTCCTAAATAGACAATAAACAACAATCATTCCAATTTCTATTGCTTTTCTACAGTGATGTTTGTCCCTAACAAATTCATGCTTCAGCGCCGTTCCAATTGACCATATGAAACAGTCACTTCTTCTACCCATACCTGCAACATTGTTGGAAAAAAAAAATAATGAAGCTTCACCATTATCACAATGATTTCAAATTTTCACTTGAAGAAAAGATACTAGCAGGGTGCTTTTTTGCCATATCAATGAAATTTTCTATGAATGCTCTACTAAGTAGAGTTTAAAGAAAAAAGATCTGGTATATATGCTTCTTCTAAAATTTCATGTTGGCGGGCTAGTCTGTATACTTTGTTATTATGAGTTCCTTTTATTTGAAATGCTTATCTTTTATTTAACAAAAAATAAATAAAATGCTTAGCTTCTTTTTCTGTACAATACTTGAGGCTGCCAAGATGAACCTTGGTCACTAGAACTAAGAGTCCAACTGGCTACCAACATACATATGGCTGTTGACGTTGGAAACCCTATTCTGAGAAGGATGATATTGTTATGATGAAGAAATGCAGGTTTCTATGTCCTTACCTTGTGGACTAACAGCAGGATGATTGGCTTTTGCTGGAGAAGCTACTGCTTCTGTATCAGGGCTTTTAATGACTTCAACTTATAGTGGGAATGACCGTTTCAAATGCTTCTACAAGCAGCTTCACTCTCCTTTTCCTTTCTGGAGTTAGTTTAGCGACCACTTGTTGAAGTGCATGATCTAACATCCATTCTTCAGCATTTTTCCGGTCTTCCATATTTTGATGTCTTAGGAGAACTTTCTCTGATTCTGGGGCAGGATCTAAGGGCAGGTATCGAGGGCCCTGTGGGTTAAATTCTCTGAGCTTTTCCAATGCCTTGACAAATCTCCTAAGGAGGACTATTTTCTTCAGATTGCTCCAATTTCTCTGCACTCTCTTCTTGGATTTATTTCCCTCATCTGTTCCTCTCTCTGCTTCTTTTTGAGAGCTTACAATTTCAGACTTCAGTGGTTTCTCTTCAGAATTCAAGGTTGAACGAAGCTCTTCTGCTATGTTTTTAGCTTCTTCAGAGTTCCCTTTAGAAGAATCAGCAGAACATGGGATGAACTTCACCTCTTCTTCACCATGTTTCTTTTCTGGGAGTTCTTGATCTGGAATTACATCACCAGTAACAGATTGATTGTCTGATGTGTCATCTTGAATTTCTGGAAGAGGTATTTCATCTATTGCTTCTTCTACCAGATTTATAATCTCATTGTTGTGGCATTCAATATTTTGGCTACCTGCTGTGTAATTCTCCATCACATCCTGACCTGTCGCAAAAGAACCTTGACCATCTGCATTGCTGTCTCTGGAATGTTTGCTTGCATCATCACCTTGTACTTCCTCGTCTGCTACATTTTGAAGCGGTTGTGATCCATTTTCTGCGGCACTACCTGACACCATGTGCTTATATATTAAGTACCAAAGCCTCGTGTATTTTTGTCTTTCCAACTTAGAAATATCAGCAGCAAAATTGAACTCAGATTGTTCAAGTGGAGAACGGAGGAATTTATATTTTGGCTGAGCTCCATCACCAACTTTCGTTGGGCATTCAGGTTTACCAGGGTGCTGGTTAGCTGAATTAATCGAGTCACTGGACTCCAAACCCATCTTCTTTATATTGAATTCAGAACCATCATTGCAGACTTTGGAATTGACAATTGAAATTTCTTCCTTCAACTTTCTTTCAACAACTTCTTCATTTACTGGAAAAAGTTTCTCATGAGAGCTTCTTACTGCACCTTCATTAGTTAAGGACTTGTCAGATAGCCTGTGTTCTTCAGGTTCAGACAAAGAGAGGTCAACCAACTTCGGCTGAGCATCCATGACAATCAAAACTTCATTCCCTTTAAAGTCATTGACTGCACTAGTAACTTCTTCCTTCATATCTGTATCACTCATTTCTGAGCCTGCTATACACAATGGTTGTTCTGGGCAACCACTATGCAGACTTGTTTCTTTGGGCTCAGGAGATGCTTTTGGGATTTTCTGGTATGCTATATGGGATTCACAGACTTGGTCTTGATCATCTTTGGAACTCATTTCAGGATAAAATGCTTTGCCTGCCAAGATTTCAGAACCATTTTCATTTTTTGTGCTGTCACCATTGTGAACCACAGACTCATTATAGGCTTGAACAGAAGCTGTAGGAGAAGAAGCTGCTGCATTGGAACTGATATCATCCCCATTTTCTGGTAGTGGAATGAATGTTTCAAAAGCTTGTACCAACATAGCTACTTTTCTTTTTTGAGATGGAGCCAATGTTGAAATAACTTGACGAAGTGCATGATCGAGCATCCATTCCTCAGCATTTTTTCTCCCTTTCATATTTTGATGCCTCAGTTGAATCTTTTCTTCTTTTGGGTCTTTGTCCATAGGTCCGTACTGGATTGTGCGTGGCTTTAAGTTCCTCACCTTTTCTAACGACTTGACAAATCTGTTGAGGATGATTATTTTTTTCAGATTGCTCCAGCTGTTCGGCATTTGATTGTCAGACTTTTTTCTTTCCGTTTGGGCTGCTTTCACTTCTTCAGATGCAAATTTGTTATCAGTTTGAAGCTGCATTTCTTTTTGATCTTGTATCATACAGTCTTCAATGGAATTAGAGGAAGTTGAGATGCTCACTTCTTTGCCTCCATCCTGCTTCGTTAACAAGAAAGCCTGGTCTGAAGTTATCTCACTTGCAATTGATTGATCATCCGATGAGTGGTCTGGAATCTCAGAGAGGATCTTGTCAAATGCTTGCTGTACCAGCTTAATGGCATGACTTTGACTAAACTCAAGCTTCCCGTTGCTTGCTTCATGATCTTCTATGCTCATGGTCTGATCTGTCTGTGAAATTTCCTGACAAGAGTCATTCTTTTCATATGCATTACGCAAAATTTCTACTTGTTCTTCCGAATTCACTACAGGAAGAGGCTTTTGAGTTGCAAGTTCAGCATCAAGACCTGTGACCATTTGCTGATATATCAATTTCCAAAATTTGAAATTCTTCTGATTTTCCATCTCTGTTTTGCTTGCCGCATGAGTATTACTAGCTGCCATAGAACCTGCAGGTTGAAGGATCTCACGATCTAGCTCAGAATCTTCATTATTCTCTTCTCTAGCTGAAGTTGGTTCTCCCATCATTCCAGTTGAAACAGTCTCCAAGGCTTTGGCACCATTTCCTGAATGAGCTTTATACTCTTCCAAATTCAAACTTGAAGCTATATCTTCATTAACATCTTTTTGAGCTTCCTCTTCCGCTGGAACCCCTTCACTGCAGGTGCATATAGTTTCACGCTTCAAGGACAGCTTGTCAAACTGTGTTGGGTTTCCAAACTCTTGCGAACTACTAACATCTCCACATTTGGGATGGCTAACAGTGTGAATGGACTTATTGTCTTCATTATGAGGATTGATTCTAACAATTTCTTCAACCTTGATCTTGGTACCAGGGGTATCAGGAGTTGCTTTATGCTGTTCTTCTCCAATTCCACAGCAATCCACACTTCTGTCCTTGAATACTTGAAATGTCTCTGGAATCTGCTGTTCTACTTTAAGCAGGATATTACTTTGGTGCATATTCTCCTCATGGCTCGGATTTGGATATGATGATTCGGTGGGCACACTCTCAGCCAAAGTTACTAAATCACTGCCCTCCTTTCCCGGGACTGAAGGGATCTTTCTGGTATCAACAGTTGATGTCAGTTGAACCGCAACTCCAAGATCTCCATTAAAGACTCTTTTCTCTGTTTGGAGTCCTTTCTTTCTATTACCAGGATGCTTTGCTTTGCCAAAGGATTGACGGTCTGATTTCAAACTCTTCTGAGTCTTTGCCACTCGCCGCCTCATCGATGCAAACCTCTTAAATGGAGGTTTATTATCATGGTGATGGCCATGAAGAGAGCAATAACTATATCGACAGACATTCAAGACTGCAGTTCCATCAGAATCACTTCCTCCCAGTTTATTCTCTACATGATCTGGAAATTTGGAATCTTTTAGAGTCGAGGAACAGGTAGCTCTCTCTATGCTTGGGTCTGAAATAGAAGAAATTTCAGAGCATTTCTTTGTGGAAGGCCTCTTAGGTCCTAAAGTAGATGCTCTTAGAACTCTAATGGATTTGTTCACAGAATAAGCTAAATTTTGTTTCTCATTTGTCAAAATTCTCTTATCCCGCTCACTGCTATCATAACTAGATTCAGAATGGCGTGGGCTTGCCTGTAACTGCTCCTTCATATCAGAAGAACTAGTTGCCTTCAAGTAATGAGGTGATGAATCTACCACGCTGAACGGAATAATAGAATGCTGATCATCATGGGAATTTGCCTCTGTCCTAGATGATTTCTTCAGTTTCTTCTTCAAGTCAGTTCCTCCAGATGATTTCTTCAGTTGGGGCCTTCTGAATTTCATGCTGGGCTTTCTTGTCACACTTCTCAGAAGCTTAAAACTAGATTGTGTTGTCAATGTTACCGGTAATACCTGTCCACAGGAAGCAAAATTTGGTTTTTGAACAATTTGAATTTTCACTGCAATTAATGGTATTAAAACTTTGTTATGAAAATTTTAGTACTTGCCTGAAAATTCTCGCTCTTTGCATCAGAAGAGCTTATGTCGTTTACATAATTTGGTGATGCATCAGACATCTCTATTGGAGTAGGTTGCTCCGAGCTTGCTGCATATCCAGATAACTTGGCACGAAGTTGACTGGATGAAGACCTTCCCTTTCTTGTTGATGGCATTCTTGAGGGCTTGATTGATCTCAGCTTCTTGATTTTCTTCTCTGGTTCTGTTCTTTCTCTGTTTCTGCCACCCTGATTTTCAAACGATGATTCAGTTGTAGTTGACATCGTTTCTGATTCCATGAAATAATCAGAATCTGCTTCAACTTCAAGCTTGTCAGCTTTCATTCTCGAAATCTCTAAAAGGTGACAGACTTGATTTTCCAGACTAGACAAACAAGAGGCTTGAGGAAATTTGGTTACAGATAGAGATGGGTTGAATAGGAACTGATTTTTTTAAGGAAGATTCTTGTATTTGGAGGAGTAGCAGAATACTTGTTACCTTTCATCAAAGTGCTGCATTGAAAATTTCGAGGATGACAAAAGACCAGAAATTTCACAGTTTGCGTTTTGGCTGCAATAATTTGTTTCCCATTCTAATTTTCAGCTGTCAACTGCTGCATGTCACATTTGAATATAGTTTTGAGAATTGTAAAATTGGAGGAAGTTAGATGCCTTGACTTGTACAAGGGGGAAGAGCTATTGACTTTGGCCTTTGTTGAATAGACTCAAATCTGTTTCTATGCCTTTGGTTGGTGGGCCTCTTACTTTTTGGTAACTACTTGTATTCCTATATTTATAAACATGGCAGGTATACATAAAAGGAAAATTCCGTAGCTGATTGTATTATATTTTGATATGTATGGAAATGCTCTAAGGAGGAAATATGTTGAAAAAGTCTACGCACCATGTGCACCCACAGCATGCTTTTTCCATTATTTCTAGCATATTTTGCCCATTTGGCTCATCTGATTGGATGATGCTGCTTGATAATTGATATGCCTCTCTGAAAATTTGTCATGCTGCCCATCTTTCATTATTTGATGGGTATCATGTGAGCTACAGATTACTAATTGGTGATAAAAAAATTTTGGCCAAATGCTAATGAGTGATGATAATTGCTGCAATAAAGTGAAGGTTTAAGCTAATTATTCTGCTATCAGAACTCCATCAGGGGATATTAACCTTTCTTTGTTTCTTGAAGAAATTCAGCATTAAAAAGATATAAGAAAAATATGCCTTCTTACACAATTGATGGATTGGCTTAGATCATTTAAATACCAACACAGTACTTTAGACTCTAGAGGTTGACGAAATCAATGGCATGCATCAAACTTTAAAATTACATGCTTTGATTAGATACTAAATCTCAACTTTGATATGAAAAAAAAAAATAATTTTCTCTTTGGTTATCTATCAAAGTGTATGGAATTTGAGTTGCATAAAAAAAAGGAAATTTACAGTATTTCATAATTTTTATTTTCAAAAGCATATATAAACCTTTCCCAAAATATTAATCGTTTAAATGTTTAATGCATTTAGGCATTAAGTCCTAACCATTTTGTTAATAGAAATCCTTGTCCGATTTTGACAGCTAACAGTCGAGATTTGAGATTTGGACCGTATAAAATAAACAAATTAGCTTTACGTGTCAGGTCAGCACCGACGCCTATTTAAGACGCAAAATAAAAACCGTGTGGGCTCGCCAAAACTTTGATGGACAGCGAGAGTCTGAAACCCCAGTTGTTCCAAGCGTGCTTGCCGGGGATCGATGGCCTTTGGTTTTCCGCCATTCTAGATTTGTCGTATGATTGACTTCCTTTTGAACAGCCTGCCCAATAAGAGGAAACTTTTGTCAAAAGTCTCTCATGGGGCTAAAGTTTTAGACTAAGGCCTGATTTGGATCCAATATCACCATGTTTCAGTGCGCAATTGGATCTTTTTTGGATCCAATCACATCGATGGAGACATTGGATTCCTCCCGACACAATTCCACAGGAAATCAAAACCTACCTCACACCGGCCAAAGCCCAAAACTACTTATACGGTTACCCAACTGTACAACAATTATTTAGTAAATAAAATACTACTAGAAGCGAAAACAAAAGTACAAAAAAATCCTATACAAATAAGTGTTCATAAAATTTCTCATCAAGGAAGCTTCCTGGAAGTTGCTATGGCACCCACATTTCTCCAACCATTAAAGCACCCAACCTTCGCTCCTCTTTCCCCTCAGTCCCAATTATTTTCTTTCTTCGTTCGCTTCCAACTTTTTTTCTTTTTTCGCGTTGTTTTGTGTCTTTTAATATTAAATCATCATGAAACTCAAGGCTTAGTCCCAAAGGTCTCTTTGGATCTGTAAAAAAGAATCGATCCATGGTCTCCAAATTCGACCCTTCGTCTTATAGTTCCGGTTCCGGTACGTCATCTTCTTCGTCAGAATCCGTGTCTTCAATTTGCAAAGGACATCAGTACCCTTCGTCGGCTACTGCTGGTTTCGGAACACCCACCAGCGTCTTGCTCAAAACATCAGGTGATTGGTCGAACTTTTCCACTAATTTTTATTTAGAACTTTGTCAAGCGCTTAAAATAGCAGAGAAAGATAACGATGCGGTTATTACGAGAAGCGAACTCGAGGCTTTGCTTAGCAAGTTCGCCAGGCAGCCGCCGAGTCAGGAAGAGGTTTCGCTGATGTTGAGTGAGGTGGATGGAGACGGCGATGGGTGCATCAGCCTGGAAACGTTGATGAGCCAGGTGGTTGGACCGGCTTGCGGCGAACCAGCTTGCGAACCGGAGCTAAGGGAGACTTTTGATATATTTGATACAGATCATGATGGGAAGATCACGGCGGAGGAGTTGATGGCGTTTTATAAAGAGAAAATAGGTGATGAACGGTGCACGTTAGAGGATTGCCGGCGCATGATAGCGAGTGTTGATAAGAATGGAGATGGGTTCGTGTGCTTCGAGGACTTCTCTAGAATGATGGGTTCGTGTGCACGTTAGATGAGTGTTGATAAGAAATGATGGAGCTGCAGACATGATCATGATTAGAAAGGGATTTTAATTTTATCCTGTGTGTGTTTGATAATCATGTGATTTGAGATATGCACTTCAGTTAAGGAGGAAAACTGATTTTTTATTTTAAATTTGAGATTTGGGTTTTTTTTCTTACTTATCCTTTTTCTTCTTTGGGTTTAATTTTTTTTAAGATAATTTCATAACTATAATCAAATCATGTCACTTGATTATGTGATCACTCCCATAAAATCATAGAAACTCATGTCAAGAATGGCTTAGTTAAATGGGCAAGACAAAATATATAATCAAATTCGCTTAGCTTTTGCTCTTTTGAACTTCTTCCTAAAAAACAAATTTTTTGTGGACTCTCAATAGTCAGAAATTGACAGGGGGAGGAGACAATTTTAAGTGCCCACCTGTTTAGACTTTGCAATAGTTTTTATCTCGCTCTTTGCTGGTCGCTTTCAAAATGTTTTACAGTGAGTTCGCATCTGCCACATTAGGCATTGGAAGAAGGGAAGAAGTTACATCGTCATGCCACGATATTTCGTAATAATTTAAACAATTTGAAATTAATGGTTGACAACAACCCTTAACAATACATCATTCATTTCTCATTCAAAGCAAGAAAGTGATAAAATTAAAAAAGTTTTAATGAGCTAACGTTATTTTATACGAAGGCCGGTAAGAACGGACTATTTTATTTATGAATATTATAATATAATTAATAAATTTATTAAAATTTTATGCGAAATTTTATTTATAAGTGATGAATTTTTATATATTTTGTTATTATAATTAAAATAATTATAATAAACAGAATTATAAATGATATGTTATAAGGGTCTTAATATCTTGTTTGGAAATTGATCAGATTTTCTTTTCTTTGATCTTTAAAATTGATCAGATTTAATGTATATTGACCGCAACATGCGTAAGACTTATTCTACAAACACACCAATCATTCATCACTATCTTCTTTCTTTTCAAATCGATGTTGAATCTGAAAATGGCACTTCTTAACGACGGTTTTTTTTTTTTATTACTAATTCTTTGTTTAATTATTATATGCATGCATGAGGCTTATATTTTTCAAATCATATTAAATCTGAAAATGACAATTCTTTCTATATTGACTGTAACATGCATAAGACATATTTTTCATATCGACATTCAAAATTTTATTTTTAAAATACTCCTTCCAAAAATTTAATCCCAATTGATAAAAAAAAAATTTCTAGAACAGTCTTTCCATTATCTTTGTATTCTTATTCGGTACTAAAACAAAAGCTACGTTAATTCCAACGTTAGGTGTCTTGCTTGAGAACTTTCTTACGGTTAAGTAACTTTCCAGGAAACTTCCTTTGCCTTTGAGGAAAGTCGCTATCACGTAAGGAAGGAAAATTTTTGGCTGGACTCTTTTGTCAGAGAGCGAGTTAAAAAAAGAGGTTTCGTCAGAAAAAACAAAAAAAAGCAAAGTTGAAAACGGAGGGCGGTGGATTTAGACTTTAGCTTGTGGTTGTTTTTGTTCAGATTGTGAACGCTGAAACGGAACGCAGGAAATACAAAGTCCAATATGTCCAGCAAATTCATTTTGTATTTTTATGGTAATTGTATAAATGTTCCTTTTTTAGATGTGACATTGGGGTTGCGTAATGGGATATAAGATAATCTTTCTAACACCACATCTCATAAATTTTATTCTTTTTTTTTTTTTCAAAATTTAAACTTGAAATTTTCTAATTAAAATTTTTATTTTTTATTATTAAAATTAAAATTAATAATTTATATATTTATATTATGTAAAATATTAATAATTTATATATTTATAGTATGTGTTATAATTTATATTCATAAAAAAAATAAAATTATTTTATTAAATTTATATATAATTTTTTTAAAAATTTTAATTTACATAATTTTTTTCATATTATTTTTATATTATATTATTATATTATTTTAAATTACTAAAATATCTAAATTAATAGAAAATGAAGTACCAAAATTTTGAAGCGAATGCTTTGGGTGACACCGACCCAAGTGTTTTTTTATTTTGATAACAGCGGAAACGACGTGTCTTTGAAGTTTAAGCTATTAGATTATTTTGGGCTTTTCTGGAATCTTTGTGAGAGAGCAGTTGAAGTGTGTTTGGTGTAGGATGCCAACTTTTAATCATAATGATTTATTCGTGGCGAATAGATAATCATATTTAATAAGCACTAATAATTTTATTTGGTAATGCTCTAAAAGTGATTAAATCATTATTTTAAAAAATAATTTATATTTTTTTTAAATAAATTAAAAATTTTTATCAATTAAATTTAATAATAAAAAATATTATTTATTTAATATATGAATTAAATTTTTATTTTCTTTTAAATTTGTAATTATTTGAATTATAATTATTTGTATTTTTAAATTAATATTTATTATAATAAATTTAAAAATAATTTGTGTTTTCTTTAATTTTTTTTAATCTTATTTATAATATAATCTTTCTGTTTTTGTTATGATTTTAAAAATAAGTTAGGTTTATTTTCTAATCCAAAATGATTTTTAATAAAAAATTAGTTTATTAATCTATAAATATATTTATTAATTAATAATTTATTTGTTTTTTATTATAAAGTAAATAAAATATTATAAATATATTAAAATTTATAACTATTACACTATACATGATTATTTATTTTAAGTAATTATATAATTTTTTTTTTTATTTTTATTTTTCAAAAAAAGATTAATAACAATATCAAAGCAATACACACAAATTTTGAGTAAAAAATAAAACAACAAATTTTGATACTTAAAAATAAATAATTTGAGCTAATTTGATGGGAGCATGATATTTGGCTGTGGAGATGTCAAATGGGTTATGTTAGCCCGACACAGTCCATTAAAAAATTAATTCATATATTAATTGGTCGTGTCGATTCAATATTATTATTTAACGTATTATATTGATATGATCTATAAAAATTAGGAATAAAGTCTAACATAACACACGATTCACAGTCCTTATAGGTTATACTATGTCTAACATAGTACCATATTTCGTCTCGTATCGGGCTAAACATTGCCCATTAATAATTTCAAAAAGTATTATTTTTTTAAAGAATATTTTCCTTTTTTTTTCGATGGTCTTAAAAAAAATAATGCATGAAAATAATATGTGAAACACATAATTTGTATGATTCAATAAAATATTTATGTTTATCAATAAAAATTAAAAAAATATACTAAAATAATATATAAAAATTAACAAATATTAATATTATATGTCTAAATTTATAAAAAAAAAAAAATTTAAATATCACATTAATATTTTATTTTTCATTTTCACTATACGATGATTCATTTATATTATATGCTACGTCTTAATCTTGGGTTTTTTGGTCATAATCAATCTTTATGTAATATATATTTTTATAATTTTTTTTAGAAAATGATAAACTAAAATGAAAATGTTTTTTGTTTTATCTACTAACAGTTTAAATATTTTATACATAAACTTGTTAATACAATTTAATTTTTATAAAACCACTAGCATAGAATATTAAAAAAAAGCTTATTATTTGATAAAAATAACATAAAATACATCTAAAAATTAATAAATTAAATTTATTTATAATATTTATAGACTGATAAATTAGTACTCGTATATCATATCATATCAATTCAAATATTATGTATTAATACGATGAGTCATACCGTATCAATCCAATAAATTCAAAATCTTTGACTCAAGAGGACATAAATATATGAATAATGCTTGATACGATTTAATATCTTATAATTCTAATAATAAATCATATCAAACACAATCTATATCGTGTCAAATTGTTCTATATCATAGGCTATCCAATTCATTTGATACTTTTATTTGTCTGCTCGGATTCAATAAATAAAGGTTTTAGACTTGATGTATGGCTTTCCAGGCCGAAGGGGTTAGGACAAACGCTGGCCTTTGCTTTAGTATACTTTGGGTGTTGAGTCAAAATTAGCTCATCACAATTTTGACTCCAACGATAGTTGCAATTAAATTTTGGGCGAACATTAAACTTTCATTTTTGCTATATATTTATTATAGAAGTAAAAAGCAAAGGTAGTATCTAAATATAAAAGAAACAAAACTTTTGAAGAATTATAATTTTAAAATTTTAATTTCATGGATAACAACATCAGTCTAAAAGAATTTTTTAACATTTGAATAACACTTAAAAAAATTAATGTAATTTTAGATTGAATATCTATACTAAAATTTAACTTATTTTCTTCGAAAAATTTAATTAACATTTAATTGATCTGAGACTAGATATACCATTCCGTTCAAGTCAAGATGTTGGGTCGCAATCAACATTTAAACTTTTGAGCTTTTGCAGTTTCTGCCCCCTGCTTTGGGCAAAGTTTTGTTCCGTCACTGAAAGTCGATAGAACCAATCAATACGGAAATAACAAGAGTCAATGCAAACTAGACTGTCAATGCATTTAGATCCCTACAATTTGCGTGTTTTCCGGGTTAGTAACTATCAGTTTCGTACCCCAAAAAAAAAAAAAAACTATTAGTATCAAGTACTATAAAAATACTTGACAAAGTCGCTTTAGGATATTGTCGAAATGTCGTGAGCGAAGTGCAAATTAACCAAGTCGCAGCTATGCTTGGAAACAATAAGTCATTGTGACAAACAACGGGCGCCCAATTAATTGATTAGAATATTTTAGCAGAAAGAATTTTTGGATCCACTTGTTTTGAACCATTGGTTCTATCCTTGGGTCAGTATGATCCTCCAATTGCAGATAGATTTCTTAGGATATATATAAGAAAAATTTAGCAATCCATTGAATTTATTGAAAATATAATCGATGATGGTCAAGCTCTTTTTGTGATTTTTTTTTTTAACTTTTAAAGGCTAACTTATTTCATAGTTTTAATCTATATAAAGGGAAAAAGAAACATTTTCATCGGGCGATAGACTTGAAGTCGAGTGCAATCAATCGAAAGAAAACGAGCGAGCTCTCTTGATCAACGACTGCATCTCTTTCTATAGTTTCTTCGAACGTTTGATGGATTAATAATTATTCTTCTATTCCGCTAGTTGAAATTTATTACCACAGAAATATATAGAAACTAACGGAGAAATTGTCGGATAATTATCAACGACTACATCTATGACATGGCTTATATAAATGTTTGCATGGGGATGGAGCTGAGAAGATCATTCGAATCGAGGCTTATAGATTATAGGATCACTCTGATTAGCTAACAAGGTCGGCCGGGATATGCGGGGCCCTCGGGAAACCATTGGCATGAATCTAGCCACCAGGCAGTCTCTGCTGTTAATGTCCAAAAGATCATGTAAATCATCCCAAAGGAAGCATTTGGTACATATTATATATTTTCATTTATCATCTTTAGTGTCATGTTGAAGAATTTTCTTTAATACTTTTTCTTTTGTTGGTCTCATTGTTAAATTTGGTACGTACGAAGAGAAGAAGAGCCACTGAAATTTTAAACAGGAGGATTGAAAGGCTGAAAGAGGAGATGAAGGAGGTTAGCAAGGAACAGGAAAGCATAAGAAAGGGGCAAAGAGAAGTGAAAGACAAACTGGAAATGGTGGAGTTGGAATGTGTGCAACTCCGAAGAGAGACTGATTTTATAACACAACAAAGTCTCAACACCCAACTTCGACTTTCTCTTATGTTTCAAATCCTTAAAGCACGAGAGGTCAATAATTTCACCCAAGCTGCTGCCCTTACTCAGATTCTGCGGTTAGAATTAATTCCCTTATTAATGTCCTTTTTCCTTCCTACTTTCTATTATTCTTTACTTTATACTTTAACTTAAGGAAGCAAAATGAAATACGATGGCAAAAAAAAAAAATACAAATGATAATAAGAAAATATAATAGAAGCATATTTTTACCATTAAAATTCGAAAAATATTTCTTAAACTTCATGATTATATACTTAACAATAATTTTAACTAATTCTTTCCTTTTTATATAAATTGCAGTGAAGTCATAGCAAAACAAAGCAAGGAAGAGTAGTAATTGGCTCTAGCTTGGTGCTTCAGTTTCAAGCAAGCTGCTTTTCTGCGTGGCAAAGGACATGTAATATAATTAACCCATTAGTAACTACTTTTGGTCGCAATTTATTTGCTGTTAAGAAGAGAATAAAAAATCAATTGTGACTTATCTTTTTTGAGCTTTTATAAGATGTTTATTTTGAATTTTTCTTTTTTTTTTTTGCTAAATCAGTATGATTTTATTAATAAAGGAATGAGTTACAAAATGTCTCCCATCCGAACAAACCACCCGACTTTATATCATTACATAAAATTCAGCCAATTCTACAATGTATCGTAACAGTATCCTGTTAAAAGCTGTAGAATTCTCTGATAGTCCTCATTTCAAACTACCACCAAGATGTAAACATATTCATTCTTTCCACCTCTGCTTTTGCCAATGAATCAGCCATCCCACTTTCCTTTCTGTATATATTTGTTACTTTCACATTTCCCACCTCTTGTATCAATTTGTCAATATCACGAAGAATCTGCCATAATTTCCATGGCCTATTTTCCAGCTTTTGGCACCAGTTTACTGCTATTTTGGAGTCTGATTCAATGATCAAGCCAGATTTATTTTCCACTCCTTATTGCAGAATACTTCCAAAGCCATTTTAATAGCCATCAGTTCTGCTATATTAGAATCCTGAATCCCCAATGGTCCAGAGAATAATGCTACAACCTGCCCTTCCTCATTTCTCGGTACTCCACCACATCCTGATTGTCCTGGCTTTCCTCTTGCAGCTCCATCCACATTAAAGTTCAAAAAACCTTCAGATGGAGGATACGATGCTCTCTATTTCTTCTTTGTGAAAGCTCTAAAACCAAGCAAACATATGCTGTACATATATATATGTACATATATATATATATATCAAGTTTAAGTTGATGACAATTTGTTTTAACTTGGGGATAACCAAGCCCCGTTGGTTTGTATGGTGTTTTAGGGATGACTATGGCTTTTTTGATCTATTAATTAATGTTGTTAAGTTTGTGCTTAGTCTTATTTGTACTCCAACCGACAAGAGTATCATAAAATCCCCACAAGAACACTGCAAAACATCTAACTGATATCATGAATTCATGATTCATGAGTATATGTAAATACTCATTACAGACACTACATGCATTTACAGACTTAAGATCGAGACGACCTCGCATTTAGTATATAAATGTAAATGCTTTCTCTTCTATATATAATGAGGAACGTTTGGTTGCAAGGGTGGAGGCAGCTCCGGTTTGATCACTGTGGTTGTTGTTGTTGTTTTCTTTTTACATATGACCAAGTTAAAGAAGGAAGTGAGATTTGAACTTGGATCTTATATATATCTCTAAATTATCACTCTTTAAGAAAAAAGAATAACAACTGTTAAATTAAGCCTGAAATGTTGCTTAATTAAAGACTACACAATTGATATTGATATTACGCAGCAGAATACAAATATTGAATAGGTATTAAAAAAAACAAGGGTTCCTTGCTCACAAATCATGTTGTTGGTTGAGTCATGACAGCAGTTGCAGCATGACAGAGATTTTCAACCCTAATAATGCCCTCCATGTCGTAAAATTATCGACGAGTTACTACTCTTTTTTCATGATGTCTATAATTTTTTCAAAAATTCTTCATGTTACCATAAGTCATAAGTGATTAATAATATCTTAACGTGATTTTTATATATGGAAAATTTTCTAGACACCGAATTGCAGGCACTACCTCTAGTAGTATTATTATTTGGAGATATTTTATTTATTTTCTTATAGGCCTCAATTGGCTGCCATTTGAAAGCTAATTAAGCCTTCTTTGGGGTTTTTTTTTTTTTTTTAAGAATCACAAAATTCAAAAAATAAGAAAAAATTCACAAAATCTCTAAAAAAAACACAAAAATAATAACAATACATCATATTTGGGGTTTTATTAGTTTCCTCAAAGTCCGTTTTGAGAATTTTTTTTAAAAAAATCACAAAAAAAAAAGCAAAAACTTTCAAAACATCTCCTAAAATCACAAATAATTAAAAAATCCTCAAAATCTCAATTGAAAAATAAACTTAAAATCCACGCTAACAAAAACTAGATAAAAATTCTATTAAATAAAAGCTAAAATAAAGACATTGATACAGTATGCACTTAATCAAATACAATAAAAATTACTCGATTACTAATTTTGTGATAGTAAAGAATAAAATATATAATTATATTAATTAATTATAATTAAATGTTAAAATTTATATAATTTTTATAGTTATATTTTATTTATACTATTATTTTATAATTTCAATAAAATAAAAAATGAAAGCATGCTTAATTAAATGAAATAATCCATTTGAAATATTTAATTATTTTATGTAGTATACTTATTCGATACGAAATGGTATAATTCATGAAAATTATATTCATATTTATTGTTTTAGTATAATTTTTTTAAAATAGAGATTTGAAAGTAATTCTTTGATTAATATATATGCATATTTATTATTAAATAAAATGTTTTAAGTAATAATTTCATCTTTTATCTTATATTTTATTTTATTATAGTAAATTATTGAGAGATTTAATTAATTATATCAATTAAAATATACAAAAATAAGTATTAAAAAAAACTGAATTTAAATAAAAAATTTTTGTTCCACCACGAGTAAAATTTCTAATTATAGTTTTTTTTAAGCCAAAAATTTTATCAATGAACGGTGGAATGCTTACAGTCGAACACCTTATGATTCCTCGTCCAGAAGTAGTGGGCTAAGAGGCATGTAAACCAAGGCATCAGCCCCTTCTGTCAACCCATGCCTTTGTCAAGGCATCAGCCATACCATTTGCCTCTCTAAATACCTTAACAAACTTTACATTCTCAATAGCAGACATTAGATACTCAATTTTCAGAAATATATGATGAAGACTCTATGGTCTTACCTCCCCATTTATTACCTAGCTTAGGACAATCATTGAATCTGATTCAATAATAATTAAGGCCTCTATTTGGTTTGAACTTTTTAGTTTTGCGAACACCTCAAACGTGAATTTTATCGCACATAGTTGAACCAAATTTGCATGTTGTATTCCCAGGGGCATGAGAATTCCTTATAACATCACCACATCTCGCTGGACCAGGGGATCCCTTAGCAGAGCAATCAACATTCTAATTATAGTTAATACAAATCCAAATCTATATATTCATGTATCAAATGAAGTGATAATAATTGGTGGATTTTTTTTTTTGAGAATATAATTGATGGATTATTAATTTTACGATTGGTTTAAATTTTCTAAATTGATTTTAGTTTTCCCTAAAAGTGAATATCACACAGATACACGAAGTTGCAATTTAGAAGTGCAATCACAATTGACAGCATTGCGCGATAATGCGTAGCAGTTAATGCTCGGTTTAAGCTTAAACCCCCCCCCCCCCCAAAAAAAAAATATCGTTCTGCTAATTTTTTTATATTGTAATTAGTGACGTTTGGTTCTTCAAACGCCTTAAATAATTTTTACATTAATTATTTAAGATATTTTTTAATTGAAATGTCTTAATTAATAATTTAATTTTTTTTATTTTTATAAATTAAAATGTTATCACATGATTTATTTTCAGATATGCTTATAAACAAATGATCATTAATTATGGTATTTGATTTTTAAAATATTTTAAATAATTTTTACATAAATTATTTAAGATGTTTTTCTAATTAAAACACCTTAAAAGATTTGAAAAAAAAAATCAATTATTTAAGGTGTTTTTTCAATTAAAATGTCTTAAAAACTTTTAAAAAAAAAAAAACTCAATTATTTAAAATATTTTTTCAATTAAAACACCTTAAAAGACTAATTTCTCTGATCTGAGTTTCTATTAGCTGATAGCATTAAGCTATTATTTCTCTGCAAAAAGGTTTACGACTTATGAAGGACAATTGTCATGAACTCTTTAATCAATGCCCCTTGCATCTTTTTCCATCAGCAAGTTGAAAGTATAGCGTTGGGCCTTCCATAGCTCTTTGACAAATAAGATAAGAATGAAGATTCTGCAGATTTCTTATATCCATAAGAAGGTTGGCAGCCGGAAGAGTAGTTTTAGGCAGATGACAGAAAGAGGAAATAAGAAAAATGCATGCCTATAACTGTTACATTAAGATGACTAGAATCTATCACTTTATCAAAGAACGGAATTATGGAACCAGAAATGCACCAGGGCACAATCCAAGAAATAAAGAAGATTGTTTGAACCATTACAGGTGAAATATTGTTCAACACAATTGATTTGGGCGATGGATACTAGTCTTTTTGCTGGTTTGTCAAGCTTAATGTCCCTATTTCTAGCAAATATTAGTTGCATGTCACCTTTCCTGTTAGACTGAGAATAACAAAATATTCTAATTTTAAGACGTATCAGAAACTGCTATTGGAGTCATTGCCCACTCTGGTGGCTTGCAATTAAGGGCCGGGGCTAGTGCAGCCTCTGGTTTCGTGGTCCAAGCCGCTAGACAGTGTAAATGGTCTAAATGAAGGCCTAGATGGAATTTTTTTCGTTATTAAGCTTTGTGGGATTTTATTATTTTCTCTTTGTTTTCAGATTCTTCAAAGTGTAAATGCACAAGGATTTGATAAAAGGCATTTATCGACCTTTTTAGGCTCCGCATCCTCTCCAGAGTTCTCCTTTATGTAAGAAGTAGATTATGATAATTATATAGAAAGTAATATACATAGATTTTTTTTAATCAAATAAGTGAATTTGAATATGAAATATCTTAAAAATTAAAAAAAATTTAAATATCGTATTTTTTTAAGGAATCACATTTTTTTTCAAAATCTAAAATTTTACAAACTAAATGTCCCCTAAAGGTAATTTCTTGGAAAAATAATAATAATAATAAGTTCTTAACTTATAAATTATTAGTATCAAAGTTTAAATTAGATATCTCTATTCTTTTATTCAATAATTATAGATTTTTAATTTTAATTAATTTGGTTTTATATTTATTAAAACTTTGATTTAAATATATTAATTTTTTGTTAATTTAATGTTATGTGATTAAAAAATTTAAATTCACGATGTCATTTTATCAATAGAAAACTATATGATCATTTTGCGCAACAAAAACCATATCATAAAAAATTAATAATAAAATTTCACAATATTATCAGTGATCTTTAAATTGATTTTTAATTAAAATATAAAGATGAATTTCTTAAAATTTAGGATAAAAGACTATAATCATTAAATTAAAATAATAAAAGATCGAATTCAAACTTCTTAAAAATTTTTATTTTTCTTAAAAATTATATATATTTCATTGATTTTTGTGAAATTAAAAAATTGATTTCAAAATATTTAATATTAAAATTAATACATTATAATTCTAACATTAAAAAATAAAATATTATAAAAAATCACTTTAAAAAATTCTAAAAAATTCAAAAAATAATTTTAAGATATCCAAATTAAAAAAAAAGGCAAAAATAATGCGATATCCATAACAAATGCCTATGTTTTTGGCCAATAAATTGCATTGGTTCTTTGTTTGACGGCCAACGACCAAAAATTCAACAACATTGGGTCCCATTTAATAAAAATATTTATTTATGCATATAATATTTAAGCCCTGTAACTCTATATAATCGCGCGATCCCTTGCGAGTGTTCATCAAAATCGGGCGCGACCAACTTTCCTTTCAGTTTATTTATTTTTCTTTTCAAATACATGCTTTTTCTCTATCTCTGTCGCTCGTCTCCAATTATCGCCTCCGACTAGCAACGATCCATTCTTTTTTGTTCCTAAAAAAATCCATGGAAAACTGGTTCGAGGATATTGAAGTTGAAGAGGTAAGCATTTCTTCTTAGAATCAAAAGTCTATTTTTATGTATTTTCTTTCCTTTTTAAGTTTTAACCCCATAGATTATATGTTACTTGACTTGCTATGTTTTTTCTTTGTACAATTTCTCAAATTATTTCTCACCCACTGCGCTTATAGATCTGTAAGCTTAATAATCTTATGATTTTCAGGACATCCTAGGCCATGTGAATGTGGGTGATTTTTTTTTTTTTTTTATAACAGAATACATAAAATGAAGCTATATTTCAATTTACGTAGATAATCAAGTTTTTCTTTATTATTATTATTATTATTTAGCCTTTTCAGCTTTGGAGACCTATACCGAACCCCGTCAGGCCTCAAAGCAATAACCAACCTGGAATAAGCGGCGGAGCTGTCCCAAACCAGATCTCTAATGTAAGCACACTGCAAGCATCTCAATCTCCAAATATTTCCAACGGTTCTCTTTTGGAAAGAAACGAACGAACTCAGAGGAAAAGGAAAAATGATCGGGAATATCGGGAAAGATGTAAGGTGAGCATAACATCTTTTCTAATCCCATTTCTCTTGCAAGAATTTGGTTCCTGCTTTTAGAGAAAAAGGGATTGAATATCATGCAATTTTCGTTCTGGTTTTGTTTTTATACTGAAAATAGAATGTGAACCATTTGAACTTATTACTAATTTAGTTAGTATTGAAGTTTAACTTTGATTGCCCTAATTTAAAAATGCAAATGGACAGGTCTAAAGAGTTGTCTGCAAATTTAAAATGTTGTTTTAAAAGCAAAAATGTAATCATTATATGTCTTAGAGCTTAGAGATATTAAAAGGGAAGTTTTAAAAGTAGAATTCAATGTACAGAATGATTTCTCTTTATGAGGATTGGTGAGTAGGGATGGGTAATTTGAATCATGAATGATGTCTGTTTCCTTCCTTTCTACACAGAATCGCAAAGTGGAAACGGAATCGAATTTGAAGAATCTTGGGGGAGAAAATGAATCTTTAAAGAAACAGAATGAATCCTTAAGAAAGGATAATTTGTTGATGAATCAAACTTTGAGAGATCAGAAAGAAGAGATTGATCAGTTGAGGAGTGATCTTTGTCCGCTTAAGCGCAAGCATGAGAGGCAAAATGTTCTTGCGCAAACACTTTCAGAGCTTTTAGTAAGTCTCTACTGCTCTCTACTCTCAATGTACATGTGAACTCTCTGTTTCATTCCCCTTGAAGAAAATAAGGGTTATACTCCTTAATGGTTCTAATAGTGAGAAAAGATACTGGCTTTGGTATATTCAAGTTTTTTTTTTTTTTTTGTTTAACGTAATAAAGTATATGATAGATAAATAGATAAGTAAATAAATAAATGTTGAAATGAATATATTAATAAATATAAATTGAAAATTTATTTCATCCACACCAGTAGTGGAGTTTTCAAACTCTACCAATGGAATTAAAAGTAAGACACACACCTCATAAGGGTATGTTAAATTAAAAAGTAAAACACTAATATCATAAAAAAAAAGTACACTTGTCAATTTTTTAATCTTGCTTGTAGAGTTTAAAAATTCCGTCAACAGTGCATAGAAAACAAACTCTTGTTTAATATGTTTATGAGTGATTTCTTTATCTAATGAGATAAATAAATACATAAATAATTAAGTAAACAACTTTTACTTTATTAATTTCAAATATGTGTAAATATATTACTATTAATTTGTAAAAATAATTATTATTTGATATAAAAGTAATTGTTATTAATTTTCATTAATTTTATTAACTTTCTAAACATCAAATATATAATACAATTACATAATATACAAACTTTAATGTGATATTAATCTGATATCCCTAATGATCGTTTTCTCCGCCCACACAGCTACCATTGCTCTTTCCAAATGAATATCATTCCACCACTAATTTCAATTTCACTACTGAAACACTCAATCTTATTGTCATGTTGTTTTCAGTTTTAAACCCCATACAGATCTCATTGATGTGCTAAAAAGGGATCTTAAATAGTTCAATACAAGAATAAATTGCTAATAAGTTATCCAAAAACAGAATAAATTGCTAATAATTATATTACTTGAATCGGCATTTCTATTTTACTGTGCAGTTGTCACTGTTGTGCTAAAGAGATCCTAAATTATTCAATAAGAATACATTGCTAATAAGTTATCCAAAACCAAAATAAATTGCTAATAATTCTATTAGTTAATTGGCATTTTTATTTTATGTGCATTTGTGTACTACTCTATAAAGAGAGCTTTCAATTTGTCTTTGGCCTCAGCAGGTCTCCTACATTTCTTGTGTCTCTTTTGATTATTTTTATTAGCCCATGCTGGTGTTATGTACAGAATCATACTATTATTAACTCCAAAAATTGAAGATAGTTTATTATTGATTTCATATGGGCTCTCTTAGTGGACTTTTGTTTAAGTTATTACAAGCTCATTCTAAAAGCACAAAATTTTTGCTCGAACATGTTAGAGCTTAAATACGATGATATAGATTTTTAATATAGTAGTTTTCTTTGTAGGCTGATCCAGTGCGGCTGGAAAATGAGAAGCTAAAGGATGAAACTGCTTCGTTGAAGAAGAATGCCAATCTAAATGGTTACTTAGCACAGCTATCCGAGGAGAATGCAAGATTAAGAATTGAAAATAAGGTACTCAAGGTGCAGAATGATGCTTTATGTGGGAAGATTATCAGTGACAATGACAAGAAGCGTGAACAAGAACAGGAAGCTAAGATACTATGTTGAAGATATGCCCCATGCATTCCGTTACGGGATATATGTTGTTACTAGGCTTAACTAAATAATTGTGAACTATGCAGTTGATTTTGTTAATAAGCTTTGTTCCAGACCAGGTCCTATTAGTTTGTATTTGGTTTTTAAAGTTCTGATATTTCCATTAGAAGGAACGTGAGAAAGAGAGTTAGCTGTAGCATCCTATATCCATGGATCACGGCTGTGCATTCTGTTAACAGTAATACAAAAAATGAACGGGAGTTATTGTAGAAGGGATTGTTAAGCAATATCAAAAAGAATTCTCTCTCCAACTTCTTTTTTAATTCTATCTTCTTCCTCTATTTTCTGCTTCATTCTCTATTTGCCTTCTCTGTTACAATCACTTTTTGTTGAACAATTTGGCTCATATCATTTGGTATGAGAGCCTAAGATTTTGGCCATGATAGATGATCAATTTCACAAGGAAATCAAGGCTATTTTGCTTGATGGGTGGAAAAAATTGAAGCAATGGAAGCAACATTGGAAGAGATGAAGCAGGGATTTAATAGGATGCAAATCCAATAACCGTGACAGCCACCACCGATCCCTCGTCCTTGTGTTCATCTGTTGATTTCTTATGGATTGGTAAGTGATTATCCTCAACTGCCGGATACTTAACCACAGAGTTTTTACCATTGATGAATATGCAAGTTGGTTTGCAGAATCTTGAATTTTAGGGGAAAGAAAGAAAATGCGATATCCAAAGTTTTGTTTGATTTTCAAAACGTTCTGTTTTCAAATTCACTTGTTTAATTGAGAGAATTCATGTTTATTAATTCATGTATAATTATCATAATTTTCTTGACAAGTTGTATGCAATTTTTTATTTTGTTTCATTAATAATAAATATTCAAATGACAAATGATGCATGAAGCAGCAAAAGAAACCAAAGATCTTAATTGACTTATTTTTTAATTTATAAAACATCATCAATTAAGGCATGTGTTATTATGATCGCCTTAATTATAAGTTTTATAATTTATAAAACATCATCAAATAAAAATGTTTGTTAACATGAATGCCTTAATTGACAATTTTATATTTTTTAAAATATCATTAGTTAAGGTATTTTTTACTATAAATGCTTTAATTGATACATTTCTTATATGAATTGAATACATCATTAATTAAGTCATTTTGTTTAGATGAATGCTTTAATTGATAATTTTTTTATTTATAAAACATGATTAATTAAGGCTTTTTTTTATTATGAACACCTTAATTGATGTATTAAATTTAATTTATAAAATATGGTCAATTAAGACGTTTGCTAATATGAACACCTTAATTGACCTCTACAAAGTCGTTGGTTGGAGTCCTGTGCTTCAATCACTAATATGGTATCTTTGACCTCTATAAAGTGTCAAGAAATCTTTTCTATTTATGTATCCGATATCACACAAATAGTTATTACCTATTGCAGTGGAATAATATTAATACACAAGAAAAAAAAGTGTTTCGTTATAAAACTAAAACCAACATAATAAAGATAATATCTTGTGAGGTCATTAACCCTATATGTAATGGCATTCTTTAACACTTTACTATCTGCTGTAGAATTTTTTCATCCCAGTAAAATATATATGAATTGCATATCTAACGTGCAAACACCAAAGGCATTGATAGCAATTTCATTTTTTCTAGTCCTGTATCTAAGCTTGTTAACTGCGTCTACATTGACTTTAATGTATGGCTCATCTAAGGCACCTAAACAACCTTTGAATCATTTTTATTTTATTATCTGCTGAATTATTCGATATCGATTCGGGTTTTTTAAATAACAATTTATGCAGTCTTAAAATAGAATTCAACACAAAATGGCATTGCCCAATAATCATTTCTCTAGATCTAGCTATTTGATGCTTTATAACCCTATTTTTTATATGATAGGCAATGATGTGACCAAGCAAATAATCTGTTTTCTATTGACATATATTTAGATGTCTGTAATCCCTCTTCTATTTAAAACAAATGATATAATTTTGTAAAATCTCTCATATTCATTTTAGAATTATCTACACACTATTTATCCATCTAAAAAACCATTACATTTAAATTTAACTCTCTAATATGCAGCTTATCATAAGATGTTCTACCATAAAATAAACTGTCATTTTTTAAGATTCATATGTAATAAAGTCATAGTAACAAAACATAACACATGTAATAAAGTCTTCATTTGGTTCAAATGAATACTAAGCAATGTAACCAATTTTATTTTTGTTCTTAGTGATAAACGAGCCATAACTATTTAGAAAACAGAATCTCATTAAAGTTGAAAATATAATTGGAAAGTAAATCTTTACATATGGTACATAGAATTTATCAAATATCAAAAATGAAAATATAAATAAGAAACAAAACATTTATAGATGAAGTGGTTAACACCAAAATTAATAATACATTTGATATATCAATATAGTTTCAATCCATATCTAAATAACATCTAAAAAGAATTAAAAAAAAAGATTGGAATACAACATTTAATGTAGAACAAATAATTAGGTATTAGATAGTATACACATCATTTAAAAAAAAAAAACGTAAATAAACTTAATAGGACGAAAATTAAATGACGGATGTTGAAGTTGAAGTTGGTTCAAATAAAAAAGTATTTACTTTGAGCTCATATATGTTAAAATAAAAGTAAAAAATGTATTGATTATTGAAATATGATGAAGACATCAATTAAAGCATTTCATATATAGAGATGTCGTTTTTGATGTATTAAACATAAGTTCTTTTAAATTTGATTAGATATTACAACGTACATATTATTAGAACACGATCTTCGAGAAAAAAATAAAATTTTAATATGTGACCATTACAATGTTTAAATGAAGAAACGCCTTAATTGAGAGGGAAAGTTAAATTTTAATATAACTCATTTACGATGTTTCTAGGAAGAAACATCTTAATTAATAATCAATTAAGGTGTTTTTCCATTGAAACATCTTAATAGCCACTTGAATCTTTATTAAATTGTGATCGAAAATCAATTATGTCATAACACTGCCTTTGAGACCAAAATAAAATTTTAATATGTGATAATTATGGCATTTCAAGGAAGTTAAAACTGAATATGTGGCAATTAATTAATATCAATTAACATGTTTCTTCCTTAAAAGCTTTTAATTATCATATATTAAAATTGAATTAAATCTAAGACAAATTAAAAAAAAAAACTCTAAAACTAAATTCTAGATTTACTTTTTAAAAGGGTAATGGATCTGCAATAAATTTTTTATTTAGGTCAAATTTAAAAATAAGATAACTTTTTCCCTTAAAATCTTAAAATACCACAATGAGAGATAGATTTTGACTTTAAAACTTTGAGTATTGTTAGGAATCTAACAATTTCTCTTGTAATTGAATTATCCTGGACAAAACATAGAAAATAAAAGCCCATTATCAAGATTTCGAACAAAATTTTGTAAATTATTCTGAATCAAATGTATTCTCTTAGGTTTCAACTTTGAAATAGAGTAACAGTGTTGTTGTTTACACCGACAAGTATTTGTTGGATTGTGGCTCTAAAGTATTTGATGGCTTAAAAATAATTGAAGATTTATTTTAGTTTTTGGTGAATCCAAATCTGTGGCAAGAATCAGCAAGGAGGTTATAGATAATAAAGGATCTATAACTAGTTTACTAAAGTTTGATCAATTTGCTGAGCAGGAGAACTTGAAAATTATATCCATAGTTGATTTAATCAGGTCTTGGACAAAGAGGGATAAATTAATTGATCGTACTGGTTAATATTTATCATGTAATGTTATTAAAATTTTATAAAGTATTATCTTTTAACAATATTAAAATTAGTAACTTATATAACTATTACAAAATGGATAGTTATTTGTTCTAAGTAATTATATAATTTTTTGTTTTTTTATATTTATTTTTCAAGAAAAAAATAATAATATCAAAGCAGTGCTTTTTTCAATGTAATCATACACAAAATTTTGAGTAAAAAATTAAAAAAAATTGATATTTAAAAATAGAGAATTTGAGGTATTTGGTGAGAGAATGGTATTTGGTGGCTGGGATACAATGGATAAAGGGCTTAGACTTGAAGTGTGGCTTTGCGGACTGAAAGGTGAGGACTAGAGGTGGTAAAAGCGGATTAGATTCAAAAAGTCTATTTAATTGGCTCGAACCTAAATTCAACCGGTATGATTTAATTATATATAATTCGATTAGAAAAAATTAAAAAATTGAATTTAAAGTGATAAAATTTAATTTGATCTAAATTTGAATTGATTCTAATCTAAACTAATTTAAATTTAAATTAATCCAAATTTAAAATATTTTGAATTCAAACCTAAAATTATCCATCCTAAAATTTAAGACAAATAGGAAATGTACAATTATGATAATTAATGACTAAATTAGTATATTATCATAAAAATAAAATTATTTTATAATAATATGAAAATTACATTTTTTAGGTCTAATTAAATTTAAATGGTTACTTTTATGACACATTCATCTACATCCAACCATAAACAAATTCAAGAAGAACTAAAATAAAATTATTACAATGGCCAACCTATCACCAAGCACATAAGCCACGGCAATTATGCTTAATGCCTTCAGTTATTTTTTGAAAAGGTCGAGAGGAGCTAAAGAGATGTATTGTAATTTATTATAGTACTTAACAGAGACCACTAAATCACTTTAGACATTTAACTTAAAAATTTAAATTGAAAATAAATATGAAATATCAATTAATAAAAAATTATTAATAAAATTTTATAATGAACAAAATTAATTTTATATTTAACATAAAATGATCCGAGAGTTAATCCGATATAAAATAACTTGATACTAAAATATTTCGATCTTAAATTAACTCAAATCTAAAATAATTCAAATTTAATTTGATCTAAACTCAAATTAATTCAACTTAAAAATATATCAAATACAAAATAATTAAGTTATTTTCTATTTGAACCTTACCTAATTTAAAATCAAAATAATTCAAATATTAAATGATTCAATTATTTTTTAATCTTCAACCAAATCCAAACTCGGAATCTATATTTTTTTTAACCTAAAATAATTTAACCTAAACCTAATCTAAGTAACCCATTTACCCCTCTATTTAGGATAAACATTGGGCTTTGTCTTAGTTTTCTTTGGATTTTGGTCTAAATTAACTCATCATCTAACGATAGTTGCAATGAAAATTTATGCCAATAAACTTATGTTAAGCTTTCATTTTTGCTTTTTTTTTTTTTTTATAGAAGTAAAAAACAAAAGTAGTATCGAAATATAAAAGAAACAAAACTTTTGAAGAATTATAATTTTAAAATTTTACTTTCATGGATAACAATATGCATCACTTTATTTCAATATTAAAATTCATTTTTTGAATTAATATTTTATTCCTTTATAGTAATTACTGAGGAATTAATAGCAAATAACATAAGTAAAACCAATAGAGCTTCAGTTATTTCTAATACTTTCAATCGAAAAGAACTTTCTAACATTTGAATAATACTAAAAAAATTAATTTAATTTTAGATGGAATATCTATATTAAAATTTAACATATTTTCTTTGAAAATGTTAATTAACATTCAAATCACCTGAGATTACATTCCGTTCATGTCAAGATGTTGGGTCGAAATCAACATTGAAACTTTTGAGCTTTTGCAGTTTCAGCCCCCTTCTTTGGGCAAAGTTTTGTTCTATCACTGAAACTCCAAATGACCGATCAATACGGAAATATCAAGAGTTAATGGGCGAGCAAACTGCTAAAGAGAAAGAGATTTTGGCGTATATTCTGATGATAATTTAAGATATAATATAATGGTCAAATATTAAAATTAATATGACATAAAAATTATATGATTTAAAATTTTAATCACCCTTATATATAAATTTTAAAAAATTAAAAAAAATATTTTATATTTTTATGTTAATATAAATTATAATAAATAATTTTTATATAAAATATGATAAAAATACATAAATGTTAATATTTTATATTATATAAATATATAAATCACAAGATTTAATAAAAATTGATTGAAATTTCTCCCATCTAACATTAATATAAATTCAAAATTTGTGCTTTTCTTGATGTTAATTTCCTCGTAGAAAAGATTTTAAATTTAAATCTTAAAAACTTGAGTACTTTTTAAAATTTTTTCATCTAGTCTATTGGTAATTTCTTGGGTTTTGTTCCAATGCTTCTTTGGTCTTGCATCAGATTTCTTTTGTACTAAGATCCGTGTGTAAATTCACTAACCATCAACTTGACTTGTGTGTTAGCGATAAGTCATAACTTTAATATAATTAGTCACCCAACTTAACATAATACAAAACTATTTTGTACACTTTTATTGGCTAGTCCTTTTCATGGTAGATTTACTATATATTTTCTACAATTTTACAATTGAAATTGGGGAACATCACATTGCAAATTGCCAATTGTACAGTGAGTGTGGGGTTATGTTTGCAAATGCATGCATCTAATGTTAGCAAAAGTACAGACAAGACCTGTCGAAGCATTTAGATCCGTACTACTTAGGTATTAAATACTATAAAAGATTGACCATGTCAATTTAGAATATTGTCAAAATGTCGTGAGTGAAGTGCTAATTAACCAAGTCCTGCTATGCTTGGAAACAATGTCCTTGTCACCATCAACGGGCGCCCAATTAATTAATTAGAATATTTTATCAGAAAGAAATTTTGGAACCACTTGTTTTGACCCATTGGTTCTATCCTTGGGTTAGTATGATCCTCCAATTGCGGATAGATTTCTTCTGATATATATAAAAAAAATTTAGCAATCCATTGCATCGAGAAAGACGTACTAAAAAACAACAGCTAGTTTTAGCAGAGTTTTGTGGCAATTGAATTTATTGAAAATATAATCTATGGTGGTCAAGCTCTTTTTGTGGTTTTTTTTTTTTTTTAATTTTTAAAGACTAACTTGTTTCATAGTTTTAATCTATATAAAAGGAAAAAGAAACATTTTCATTGGGCGATAGACTTGACGTCGAGTGCAATCAATCGAAAGAAAACGAGCGAGCTCTCTTGATCGACGAATGCATCTCTTTCTATAGTTTCTTCGAACGTTTGATGGATTAATAATTATTCTTCTATTCCGCTAGTCGAAATTTATTACCACAGAAATATATAGAAACTAACGGAGAAGTTGTCGGATAATTATCAACCGCTACATTTATGACATGGCTTATATAAATGCTTGCATGGGGATGGAGCTGAGAAGATCATTCGAATCGAGGCTAATACATTATAGGATCACTCTGATTAGCTAACAAGGTCGGCTGGGGTATGCAGGGTCCTCGGAAAACCATTGGCATGAATCTAGCCACCAGGCAGTCTCTGCTGTTAATGTCCAAAAGATCATGTAAATCATCCCAAAGGAAGCATTTGGTACATATTATATATATACTTTCATTTATCATCGTTAATGTCATTGTGAAGATTTTTCTTTAATACTTTTTCTTTTTGTTGGTCTCATTGTTCAATTTGGTACGTACGAAGAGGAGAAGAGCCACTGAAATTTTAAACAGGAGGATGGAAAGGCTAAAAGAGGAGATGGAGGAGATTAGCAAGGAACAGGAAAGCATAAGAAAGGAGCAAAGAGAAGTGAAAACAAAACTGGAAATGGTAGAGTTGGAACGTGTGCAACTCCGAAGAGAGACTGATTTTATAACATTGCAAAGTCTCAACACCCAACTTCGACTTTCTCTTATGTTTCAAATCCTTAAAGCACGAGAGGTCAATAATTTCACCCAAGCTGCTGCCCTTACTCAGATTCTCCGGTTAGAATTAATTCCCTTATTAATGTCCTTTTTCCTTCCTACTTTCTATTATTCTTTACTTTATACTATAACTTAAGGAAGTAAAATGAAATACTATGGCAAAAAAAAAAAATACAAATGATAATAAGAAAATATAATAGAAGCATATTTTTACCATTAAAATTAGAAAAATGTTTCTTAAACTTCATGATTATATACTTATCAATAATTTTCACTAATTCTTTCCCTTTTTATATAAATTGCAGTGAAGTTATAGCAAAACAAAGCAAGGAAGAGTAGTAATTGGCTCTAGCTTGGTGCTTTAGTTTCAAGCAAGCTGCTTTTCTGCGTGGCAGAGGACATGTAATATAATTAACCCATTAGTAACTACTTTTGGTCGCAATTTATTTCCTGTTGAGAAGAGAATAAAAAATCAATTGTGACTCATCTTTTTTGAGCCTTTATAAGATGTATATTTTGATTTTTTTTTTTTTTTGCTAAATCAGTATGATTTTGTTAATAAAGGAATGAGTTACAAAATGTCTCCCATCCGAACAAACCACCCGACTTTATACCATTACATAAAAGTCAGCCAGTTCTACAATGTATCATAACAGTATCCTGTTAAAAGCAGTAGAATTCTCTGATAGTCCTCATTTCAAACTGCCACCAAGCTGTAAACACATTCATTCTTTCCACCTCTGCTTTTGCCAATGAATCAGCCATCCCATTTTCCTCTCTGTATATATTTGTTACTTTCACATTTCCCACCTCTTGTATCAATCTGTCAATATCATGAAGAATCTGCCATAGTTTCCATGGCCTATTTTCCACCTTTTGGCACCAGTTTACTGCTACTTTGGAGTCAGATTCAATGATCAAGCCAGCTTTATTTTTCCATTCCGTATTGCAGAATACTTCCAAAGCCATTTTAATAGCCATTAGTTCTGCTATATTAGAATCCTGAATCCCCAATGGTCCAGAGAATAATGCTACAACCTGCCCTTTCTCATTTCTTAGTACTCTAGCACATCATGATGGCCCTGGTTTTCCTCTTGCAGCTCCATCCACATTAAACTTCAAAAAACCTTCAGATGGGGGATACCTTTGTGTATACGGTCTATTTCTTTTTTGTGGAAACTCTAAAACCAAGCAAACATATGTTGTATATGTTAAAATGTATATTATGTTTAGTTGACTTATGAGGTTGGACTATATTTTTAGATATATCTTGTGGGCTTTAAACCCATTTATACATTTGTATATATTTATATTTTAAAACCCTAGAAATAATATTATTTTTCACTCTTTAAGTCATCGTGGTATTAGAGCTTTTAGTAATTGCTATTTCTCTTTGTTTCAGGTCACTTTGATATGCTATTGTTTAATCTTTCTTTCTTTTTTCCTTAATAAATGGCTGTCGCATTTTTATTTATTTTTTGTTTTGTCATTTTGTGAAACTAGGTGAAATTGGTTTTTGTACCATTAACTACAACTTGGGTTTGATGAAATTGGAATTGCCTTTATCTTTTCCTACTCTTATTCATTGCTATGGGTTAACTAAATACTTTATTTGTTTTGAATTGTTCACTTGTGTAATTGGCTTGTCTATTTCACTTGTTACAAATTGATCAATTTATTAGCTTATTATGGGTTGATCAATATATTAGTTTTGAATTGTTTTGCTCTCATGGCTCTCTCGGAATCATCATAATCTATTCCAATGAAATTAGATGAACAAACTACATTCATTGGTTTTATTTGATGTGAAATCTTTTAAAAGGAAAAGGACTTAGGAATTATGTTATAGGTGATAAAAAATGTTCGAAAGCTCTTGATGGATTGAAAAATTTTGTGTCTAAATATGAACAATAGGAGATTAATAATAGCAAAATTGTTACTTAGATTGCTAATACTCTTACTTATTCAATTAGTATGCAACTTGGGAAATTTGACACTGCTAAGGAGGTTTAGGATTTTCTTGAAAAATATTATGTTCAAACTAATTTTGCTCGAAGATATAAACTTAAAATAGATCTTGCTACTTTGAAAACAGAGAAAGCGACAATCAATTTCTGATTTTCATTCTGAAATGTCAATTATTTGGGATCGCTTAGCTCTTATAAAACCTAAATGGATTGTTGATGCATAATTATATTACTGATACAGAGAAAAAAGTCATCTTACACAATTCATAATGGTACTTTAAAATGATTTTGAGTATATTCGTGCTTTTATTCTACATTGCATCCCTTCTCTTTCTGTTGATGTTGTTTTGTTAGAATTGATGGCTAAAGAAACTAGGAGAGGCTTCTTCAATCAATCCAAAAAATGGGATGATACTATTTTAGTAGTTGTTGCACATATAAAAAATTTTATCTCCAATTCATTTAGCTTATATCAACGAAAGGGTTTTTCTAAGATTGAATGTTACTACTATCACGAATTGAGACATACAATGCATAATTGTCTAGAATTAAAAAGGAAATTTAGCTTGCATAAAATAGGGCAAGTTACTGCTGCGATGTTGTCAATAGAAACTTTTAATGTTAACTCTCACTCATATAGATCAAACTCAAAGATTATTCGACAGGTTATTTCTAATATGAGTAACAACTCTATAAGTAATAATTTTTCTAAATCTGTATTGTCAACTACTTAGGTACTAATTATAAGGATTGGATCATTGATTCTAGAGCTTTTAATCATATGACTTTTGATAATTCTATCTTTTGACTCTTTAAGTCTTATTACTTGTTCACCTTTTATTCATATTGCTAATGGTTCAAATATGTTTGCTACTTATATTCACTCTGTCTCAAGTTCTCAAAATGTTTCTTTTGATAATGTTCTTTTGGTTTCATCACTTTCCATGAATTTGTTCTATGTTGATTAATTATGTGATCAAGGTCTTAATTTCATTTTTCACTCTCGTAGTTGTATGGTGTAGGATTGTTGCATGGGAAAAGTAGTTGGGACAGGCTGTAAAATTGAAATATTACTTGTTTTGGAAAACCTACATGTGTCATATCATCCTTTTGGTCAATTTGATCATCCTTTTATGCGAAAATCCTTATTAGTTTCTAGTGTTCATAAGCTTTAATCTTTTTCCCTCTGGCATCGTAGGTTAAGATATGTTTCTTATTCTAGACTTCAATATTTGGTATCTAGTGGCAAGTTAGGTTATGTTAAGTCAGAAATGTCCAATAATTGTATCGATTACAAATTAGCAAAACAGTCTACTTTACCTTTCAATAAAACTGAATCAGTTTCTTTATCTTCTTTTGATTTTGTTCATTCTGATATATGGGGCTTATTTTATTTGCTTGCTATAAAAGGGTTCTTGTTATTATGTTATTTTTATTTATGATTATTCGAGGTACATTTGAATTTATTTGTTTCAACATTGTTCAGATTTACTTAAAATTTATCAAGATTTTTCTGCCATGATTCAAACACAATTTTTTTTTAAAAATAATTAACTTTTTTGTGCTGATTCTGTCGGAGAATATCAATCAAGTAATTTAAAAGAGATCTAGCTTTTCAAAGTACTATTCTTGATTTATTTTGTACAGATACACCACAACATAATAGTATTGCTGAAAGAAAACATCATCATATCATGGAAACCATTAGAGCCTTATTGTTATCTTCATTGGTTCCTAAGAAATTTTGTGAGGATGCTGTAGTTACTTCAGTTTGTATTATTAATCATATTCATTCTTTTGTCATTAGTGAAATTTCTCCTTTTGAATGCTTGTATAACAACACTCCTAATTATCCTAAGCTTTGTATTTTTTATTTTATATGTTTTGTTTCTCTTTCTAAAGTTTAGTGTGATAAATTATTTCAAAAAATTACCATTTGTGTATTTTTAGGGCATGGTATTAGACAAAAAAGATATTGTTGCTATGATCTTTTTACATAAAAATTTCGTGTTTTTCAACATGTAACTTTTTGAAAAAATATTTCGATGTATCTATTGCTACGTTTTCAAAAATCTACTAATCTTTATGAGTATTTTATCTTTTTTTATCCTTTTGTTAATTTAAATAACTCTAATCAATCTTCTTATGTGTCCCAAAGTTCTTTAACTCTTCAACAGATTCATCCAAATTAAACTTGTGCCATCACTAACTTTACCATAAGTAATCATGCATCACCATTATCCAATTCGTTAGAGTCGTCTATCCCAGAAATTAGACATTCAACATGTGAGTAAATTTTTTCAAAATGTTATCATGATTTTCATTATTTTTTATCTGCTATTCTTTTGGTTTATGAACCTAAATCCTATCGTGAAGTAAGTTATAATCGTTTTTTGGCAAGCAGCTATGAAAGAAGAATTAGATGCCTTTAAGAAAACTCATATTTGAGATCTTGTTGATTTACCTATTAAAAAATTTGTAATAGATTGTAAGTTAATGTACAAGGTGAAAACTAAATCAAATGGGTCTATTGAGAGATATAAAGTTAGGTTGGTTGCAAAAAGATTTACACAGGAGTATAGTATTGATTATAAAGAAATCTTTGTTTTTGTAGCTCAAATGACTTTTGTTCAAACTTTTATAGTTATTGCTTCTATTTGAGAATGGGTTTTATCACAAGTGGATGTAAAAAATGCTTTCTTTAATGGAGATCCTCGTGAAAAATTTATATAAAACCTCTCCCTGGATTTTCTTGCCAAACTAATCAAGTGTGCAAGCTGTGACGAGCTTTATATGGTCTTATACAAGCACTGCATGCTTGGTTTGAGAAATTCAATACTGCTATATGCTTGACTCTAAATTTATACAGAGTCTTTATCATTCAACATTGTTTATTCATCGATATAAAAGAGATTGTATTTTTGCTTCTCTATATTAATGATATAGTGATAACTCCTTGGTATTCAAAATATAAAAATTCATCTTAGCCAAACCTTTTGAAATGAAAGATCTTGGTCCATTACGATATTTTTTAAGAATTGAAGTTGATAATTCCTCGTATGGATATGTTTTGTCTAAAGTGAAATGTGTTTCTGATCTTATTTCTAAAGTTGACTTATCTGATAATAAAATTGTTGACACTCATTTTGAAAACTAACGTCAAATGGAAAGCTATTGATGGAGAACTTCTCAATGATGCTACTTTGTATAGGTAGTTGGTTGGTAGTCTTATATATTTGATAGTTACAAGACCTACTATTAGTCATACAGTTCAAGTTATAAGCCAATTTATTATAGCACATTAGACAATTCACTTTGCTATAGTTCTTAAGATATTGAGATATTTGCGAGGAACACTACATAAACGTTTGTTGTTCTCACCAACTTTTAAACCTAAACTTTGTGCTTTTTTTTTTTTAATTGGGCTGGTGATGTTAATGATCGATGTTCTACAACTGGTTATTATGTTTTTTTGGGTGATTCTTTGATATCTTGCAAAAGCAAAGAGTAGACAATTGTGACACTTTTAAGTAAAACAGAGTATAAAGTTTTATCAGACATCATAGTAGAAATTAGTTGATTGTGTTGGTTACTTATGGATTTAGGTGTTGACATGTCTACTTTTATTTCACTTTTTTGTGATAGTAAGAGTGCAATTCAAATTGCTCACAATGATATTTTTCATGAATAACATATTGAAATAAATTGTCATTTCATCAGACAAGAGATACATAAAGGTACCATCATGCTACCGTATATTTTTTCTGAATCATAAGTTGTGAATCTTTTTACAAAATCTCTTTCAAGTTCACTTTTTTTTATTTAGTTTCCAAACTCCAGATGTTTCATTTCGAACCATCTTCAATTTGAGGGGACTATTAAAATGTATATTATGTTTAGTTGACTTATAAGGTTGGGGTTTATTTTTTGATATATCTCATGGGCTTTAAATTTATTTATACATTTATATATATATATATATGTATTTACAACCTTAGAAATAGTATTGTTTTTGGCTCTTCAAGTCATCAGTACATATATATATCAAGTTTAAGTTGATAACAATTTGTTTTAACTTCGGGATAACCAAGCCGCGTTGGTTTCTATGGTGTTTTAGGGATGACTATGGCTTTTTGGATCTATTAATAAATGTTGTTAAGTTTGTGCTTACTCATATTTGAACTCCATCCGACAGGAGTATCATGAAATCCCGACAAGAACACTGCAGAACATCTAACTGATATCATGAATTCGTGATTCATGAGTATATCTAAATACTCATTTACAGACACTGTGTACATTTACAGACTTCAGATCGAGACGACCTTGCATTGAGTATATATATTAATATATATGTAAATGCTTTCTCTTCTATATATAATAAGGAACGTTTGGTTGCAAGGGTAGAGGCAGCTTCGATTTGATCACTTTGGTTGTCGTCGTCGTCGTCGTTTTCTTTTTACATATGACGATTTGAATTTGGATCTCTCTAAATTATCACTTAAAAAAAAAAAAGAATAAACTGTTAAGTCTGAAATATTGCTTAATTAAAACTACGCTATTGATCTTGATATTGCACGGCAGGATACAAATATTGAATATGTATGAAAAAAAAAGGTTTAACACATTAAGCCTTGCAACATGTACGTACAGATTCCTTGCAAATCATGTTGTTGGTCGAGTCATGGGTCATGAAAGCAGTTGCACCATGACAGAGGCTTTCAACTCAAACAATGCCCAGTTCATGTCCTAAAATTAACGACGGTGAGAAAAGCATTCCTTTGAACTTCGCTCTTGATGGTTGAATGTTCACAAGACATGTGACCATGACTTATAGAAATACGCAGATTGGATAGGTCTCCCGTGAATGAAGTGAAAGAGAAGTCGCCTCTCCCGCGGCAGTTAGCTCTTTTCCCTGAGCGGAAAGTATGAAAGAACTTGGAGTTGCCGCTCTTGGTGTTTTGGCATTTGCAATAGGAAGTTGAGTAGGGGCATGCCTTAAGAATAGGACTCAGTCTCTCGGGTATCTATCAACATATAGAGATCCTGCCTCTGTCGCTGCATAGAGTTATCTTCCTATTCAATCTCCGAGTTCGATACAAGCCCCTTAATTCGTCGAGTAAATAGGGAAGGTATAGGTTTGCTGCGAATGACCCAGTATCTAATATTGGTAAAAGCATCCGCAAAAGAACATTCTCCCGTGCTTCTAGACATGCTGAGCTTCATATATTCATGTACAATAAAAGGGGGATTGATTCTGTGAAAGATAGGATCAGTAAATGGAAATTCACTGAGATTTCATCTTTGTGAGATCTTCAATAGTGGTACCGAAGGTGTCTTTCATGCCCAATAACGCAATTTCAATCAGTATAGGAAAGAAGTGATACAATATTTCTTTCTTACTTTTTTTTACTTGTTAAAGCAGAACCATGTGCCATTCAATGGGAAAATGGCTCTCCTGCAGTATAGGGTTTCTTTCCATAACTGGCTTCAGACCAAATTCTTCATGTTACCATAAGTCATAAGCAAAAGTCAAAGTCCGTTTCGAGATTTTTTTTTTTAAATAACAAAATTCAAAAAATCAAGCAAAAATTTCAAAATATCCCCAAAAATAATAAAAAAATCCTCAAAAGCTCAATTTAAAAATAAACTTAAAATCCAAACTATAAAAAATTAGATAAAAAATTATAAAATTAAAATTAAAATTAAAATATTGATTCAAATATGCACTTAATCAAATACAATAAATATTACTCAATTATTAATTTTGTGATAGTAAAGAATAAAATATATAATTATATTAATTAATTATAATCAAATGTGAAAATTTATTAATTTTTATCCTTATATTTTATTTATACTATTATTTTATAATTTCAATAAAATAAAAAAAAGAAAGCATGCTTAATTAAATTTAATAATCTATTTGAAATATTTAATTATTTTATACATAGTATACTTATTGTATAAGAAATGATATAATTCATGAAAATTATATTCATATTTAATTTTTTAATATAGTTTTTGAAAAATAGAGATTCCAAGCTAATTCTTTGATTAATATATATAAGAATATTTATCATTAAATAAAATGCTTTAAGTAATAATTTCATCTTTTAACTTATATTTTATCTTATTATAATAAATTATTAAGAGATTTAATTAATTATATCAATTAAAATATAAAAAAATAAATATTTTTAAAAAAATAAAATGAATTTAAATAAAAAATTTGTCCCACAACGAGCAAAGTTTCTAATTATAGTTAATAAAAATCCAAATCTATATATTCATGCATCAAATGAAGTGATAAGAAGTGGTGGATTGTTTTTTGTCTTTAAGAATATAATTGATGGATCGTTAATTTTAGGATTGAATTTTGTAAATTGGTTTTAGTTTTTCCTGGGAGTGATTGTCACACACACAGACATGTGATTGCAATTTAGAAATGCAATACAGTTGACAACATTGCGCGATATTACGTGATATTGCCTGGCGGTTTCGGGTTATCACGTGGGCTCGCGCCGAAGAATGGTTTTAAAGTGATAAGAAAAAGGCTCGCGCGACGCTTGTGCGTTAACGACGCAAACACGATTGAAAAAAAAAAAAAAAAAAAAAAACCCTCGTAGCTGTCGTTTTCGGCTTCGCCCTTCAACTTGGAATTATATGCGAGCACGATTTTGCATTGCCGGTTACATTGGAATTGTGCTCCACTGCTCCATTCAAGTTTAACCCCCTCAAACTCCCCCTCCCCCCCCCGCCCCCCACCCAAAAAAAAAAAAAAAATAAGACAAATCGTTGCTGTCATTCTTTTTTTGCCACGTGTTGTAATTTCCAGTCGCTGTCATGTTGCTGTCGCCATTGAAATTTAACAGTGGAGCGCTGGTTAAAAAATTAAAGTTTGTTTGGTGACAAAAAAAATAATAGTAATAATGAAAAAAATAGTTTTAAACTTATAAATTATTTTATCAAAGTTTAAATTTGATGTCTCTATTATTTTAATTTGATAATTACAAATTTTTAATTTTAATTAATTTGGTTTTATATTTATCAAAACTTAATTTAAACTAATTGGTAAAGATATTAATTTTTTGTTAATTTAATGTTATGTGGTTAAAAATATTCAAATTCACGATGTCATATTATCAATAGAAACTATATGATCATTTTGCATAAAAAATATATCATAAAAAATTAATAATCAAAATTTCACAATATTATCAATGATCTTTAAATTGATTTTTAATAATGAAATTCCTTAAATTTAGGATAAAAGATTAAAATCATTAAATTAAAATAATAAAAGATCAAATTCAAACTTCTTAAAATTAATATTCTTTTTGTTTAAAATATATATTTCATTGATTTTTATGAAATTAAAAAAGTTGATTTCAATATATTTAATATTAAAATTAATACATTATAATTTTAATATTAAAAAATAAAAATTATAAAAAATTGCTTTAAAAATAAAATTTTTAAATATTGAAAAATAAATTTAAGCTATCCAAATTAAAAAAAAAGGGCCAAAATAATGAGAAAACCATAACAAATGCCTATTTTTTTGGCCAAAAAATTGCATTGGTTCTTTTCTTGTGGGCCAACGATAAAAAATTCAACAAGATTGGGTCCCATATAATAAAAATATTTATTTATGCATTTAACATATCAGCACTTCAGCTCTATAGAATCGCGCGATCCCTTACGTCTATCCTGATGTATCGCAACGCTCGACGTTGGGCCGCCCAACTTTGGACTTGGCGTACAGCTTTCTTTTCTGTTTATTTATTTATTTTTCTTTTTAATACACAGTTTTTCTCTACCCATCTCGCGCGATTCCGATCTCCTCATCTATATATATACACGTGGAATGGCAACCATGAATGCTTTCTTTGTTGCTAAAATAAATCCATGGACTTGTCCGAACTTTTGGCCGAAAGCGAGCCTTTCTACTCCCAGAAGCTCCCTACAGAAACCTGCTCTGATAATAATGAAGATGTAAGTTTTAACCTCATAGAATATATGCGTATAGATCTGTAAACTTAATAATCTTATGATTTTCAGGATATCCTAGGGCATGTGACTGTGGGTGATTTTTTTTTTTAGAATAGAATACATAAATTGAAGCTATATTTCAATTTGATTGTGTAGATATTCAAGTTTGGTTTTTTTTTTTTTTTTTTTTTGCCTTTTCAGGGTTGGGGATCTGTGCTATACTGGCCTCAAAGAATAAGCGGTGGAGCTGTTCCAAACCAGATCTCTAACGTAGGCACACCACAAGCATCTCAATCTCCAAATATTTCCGACTGTTCTCTTTTGAAAAGAAACGTATCAAGTTTATCTGAACCAGATGAACGAACTCAGAGGAAAAGGGAAATTGATCAGGCATATCGGCAAAGATGTAAGGTGAGTGTAACATCTCTTCTAATCTCATTTATTTTGCAAGAATTTGGGTCCTGCCTTAAGGAAAAAAGGGATTGAATTTCGTGCTATTTTCATTCCGGTTTTTGTTTTTGATACTGAAAATAGAATCTGAACCATTTGAACTTATTACTAATTTAATTACCGATACCATTCATCTGTGAGAAGTTTAATTTTGATTGTCCTAATTTGAAAATGCAAATGCACAGGTCTAAAGAGTTGTCTGCATATTCAAAATGTTGTTTTAAAAGAAGAAAGTAATCATTATATGTCTTAGAGCTTAGAGATGTGAGTGAGAGATTAAAAAGGTAGTTTTAAAAGTAAATCTCAATGTACATAATGATTTTGTAGCTCTTTCTCTTTATGAGGATTGGTGAGTAGGGATGGGTAATTTGAGTCATGAATGATATGTCTGTTTCCTTCCTTTCTACACAGTTCTCAAAATGTCGATGCAAGTGGATTTGGTGAACCTCAAGGGAGAAAATGAATCTTTAAAGAAAGAGAATGAATCCTTAAGAATGGATAATTCTTTGATGAATCAGACTTTGAGAGATCAAGAAAAAGAGATTGATAAGTTGAGGAGTGATCTCTGTCAGCTTAAGCACGAGCATGAGAAGCAAAATGTTCTTGTGCAAACACTTTCAGGGATTTTAGTAAGTCTCTACTACCCTCTACTCTCAGTATATATGTCAAATCTCTTTTGCATTTCACTTGAAGAAAATAAGGGTTATACTCCTTATTGGTTATGATACTGAGAAAAGATATTGGCTTTCGAGGTACTCATCTTAAGATACTATTATATGTTGCTACAACTCTTCATTTTTATTGAAGTATTTATGTTTGACAAATATTCATCAAAAATGGGTATGGTGGTCCAACCCTCCAAATATATGGAGAAAGTTGGAAAGCATTGAACGTACATGCGTGGGAGAAATACCTGGATCTGACTCTCACCACTAAATTCGAGAAACATAGGGTACTAGTGAAGTAGTGATATTAGAATAATAGTTTAACTTTAAATTTCGGTATCGATATTATTTGTAATATGTTTGACTGAGTTTGGTGTCATGAGTCTGGTGATTTTAGCTCAGTTGATAAATTTACTAACTAATAAATTTATAAAATAATTTATTAAATCAAGAGTAGAAGTGTAAATTTGCTTCTTCTTTTTTTCCAAATCAGAATTGAGTAAAAAAACTACTCTCATTCTGTAATTGCTACAAAATTTAGGTCAATTGATGATTGTTAATGTCTTTTTTTTTTTTAATTCAATTGTATCAAATAAATTGGTAATGAGATATTACTAAATTTATAAAAAAGGACATCAGCAATAAGGAATCTAGTAAGGGTCCGTTTGAAAGCACAACTATGAGTGAGCAAAAGTCGGTTTAAACCAATTAGATCGACCGAAACCAAGTGAATTCAATTAATTCGATTCAGTTTATTTGGTTTTGGTTATAATTGATTTTTTAAATCGATTAAATTGGTTAACTCGATCGGTTTTCGATTTTTAAAATTGATAACCAAACTGATCAAATTAACCAATTTTTAATAAGTAAAGATAAAAAATTTGATATAAGTATTCTTATTTATTTATTTTTTGTAAGATATTGTTGAAATTATTAAATTCTTTAGTAATTTAGTTTGAATGATATTTGAGTTTGAGTTTTATTGAATTGAATTTGCGGTTAAATAATTATTCATAATAGGACGAAAAAAATGATAAAAAAGCTCGATTTTTTAACCTAATCGACCGAACCGAACGATTTTAATCGGTTCGGTTATGGTCGATTATTTAAAAATTTTTGATTGATTTGATTATTTATTGAATAAAAATTGGTTAAGCCAGTTATTAATTTTTTCAAACCGAACCGACCGAGTCGATCAATTGCTCACCATTAAGGGCAAGGCTGCATGGCCAAGGCCTCAACTACCTCTATGCTACATGGATCTGCTGTTCGACCAAGCCTGCAATGCTGTAGAGAGGCCGCACTAGGCCTCCTACAACAGATATTAACTCTTATAGCATTGATCCACAAATTTTGCTCATTTATCCTTAGTTTTGATTTTTTTCTTGTTTACCCTCAAATCTATAATGCAAGGAAGAATATGTCCTTTACACATCCTTTTGACACTTTAGTTATTCTCTTTTTTTTTTTTTCTTTACAATTTTGTGTTTTGGTTATTCTTGGTTTTATTTATTTTCTCTTCTTTTTTTTTTATAAATTTTCATTTTGGATTCAATTTTGGCTTTAGTATATTCAAGTTTTCATTTGTTTAATGTAATAAATTGTATGATAGGTAAATAAATAAATAAATAAATACAAATTGAAAAATTATTCATCCACACCGGCAGTGGAATTTTTAAACTTCACCAATAGGATTAAAAGGATGACATATACTTCGTCAAGATATAATAAAGAAGAAGTACACTTGTCAATTTTTTAATTCCGCTTGGAGTTTAAAAACTCCATTGATAGCGTATAGAAAACAAACTCTTATTTAATATGTTTTTGAATGATTTCTTTATCTAACGGGATAAATAAATACATAAATAATTAAGTAAAACAACTATTACTTTAATAAGTTCAAGTATGTGTAAATGTATTACTATTAATTTGTAACAATAGTTATTATAATACAATTACATCAAATATATAATACAATTACAGAATATGCAAACCTTAATCGGATATCACTAATGATCATTTTCTCCACCACCCATCACCACACAGCTACCATTGCTCTTTCCTAATGAACATCATTCCACCACTAGTTCCAATTTCCCTATTGCAACACTCAATCTTGTTGTCATGTTGTTTTCAGCTTTAAACCCCACACAGATCTCATTGTTGTGCTAAAGGGATCTTAAATAGTTTAACACAAGAATAAATTGCTAATAAGTTATCCAAAAACAGAATAAATTGCTAATAATTATATTGCTTAATCAGTATTTCTATTTTACCGTGCAGTGTCATTGTTGTGCTAAAGGGATCCTAAATTATTCAATTAGAATACATTGCTAATAGGTTATCCAAAAACAAAATAAATTGCTAATAATTATATTAGTTAATTGGCATTTTTATTTTATGTGCATTTTTGTACTACTCTATAAAGAGAGCTTTCAATTTGTCTTTGCCCTCAGCAGGTCTCCTACGTTTCTTGCATCTCTCTTGATTATTTTTGTTAACCCCTGCTGGTGTTATGTACGAAATCATATTATTATTAACTCCAAAAATTGAAGATAGTTTATTATTGATTTCATATGGGCTCTCTTACTGGACTTTTGTTTAAATGATTATAAGCTCATTCTAAAGCACAAAATTTTTGCTCTAACATGTTAGAGCTTAAATATGATGAAATAGATTTTTAATATAGTAGTTTTCATTGTAGGCTGATCCAGTGCGGCTGGAAAACGAAAAGCTAAAGGATGAAAATGCTTTGTTGAAGAAGAATGCCAATCTCAATAGTTACTTAGCACAGCTATCTGAGGAGAATGCAAAATTAAGAACTGAAAATAAGGTACTCAAGGTGCAGAATGATGCTTTATGTGGGAAGATTATCAGTGACAATGACAAGAATCGTGAATAAGAACAGTAAGCTAAAATACTATGTTGAAGATATGCCCCAGGTGTTCTGTTGCGGGCTATATGTTTTTACTAGGTTTAACTAAATAATTGTGGACCATGCTGTTGGTTTGGTTAATAGATTTTATTCCAGACCAGGTCCCATTAGCTTGTATTTGGTTTTTAAAGTTCTGATATTACCATAAGAGGGAACAAGAGAAAGAAAGTGAGTTGTAGCATCCTATACTCATGGATCACAGGTTGTGCATTCTGTTAGAGTAATACAAATGATGAAGGGAAGGTACTGTAGAATGGACCGTTAAGCAATATCAAGATGAATTCTCTCTCTCTCCAAGGTATTCCTTAATTCTATCTTCTTCATTCTCTATTTTCCTTCTCTGTTACTATCACTTTCTGTTGAACAATTTGGCTTATATCATGTTCTTTCTCAATTGACAATATTTGCTGTATTTTATTTCCTAGCACAGCTTCTATTTCTTTGTCCTTTCTTTCTGCTCGTCTTAGTGCCCTATGTGGCTACTTTTGGCATATCTTCTGATTGCAGTTTAGCTTTCTTGTCCTTGTTCACTTTTGATCTCTCTTCTTTTCTAGACTTTCTGATCAGATCTTCCACCAATATTCTTCCTTGATCTATTTCCTTGTTCTTACACTTGATCTTTAGCCCTCTCCTCCTTTTTATGCTCTGCCCTTTCTCACTTGCCTGCAATGGAAAGGGGGAATAAGAAAAAGAATATGGTTTTCTAGTATTCTTTTCATGGATGTGTAGCTTGTGGGTAAGTCGGCCGATCTCAGCCAGTAAAATGGTACTGCTGCTGCTCTTCGTTCAGTTCTGGTCTTTGAATTTGATTTTGTGTTTAAAATACCACTCTGACTGTTGTATGTATAAATTGTTGGTCAAATTTACAAACTTTAGCGGACATAAAGTTGTTGTATCATCTGTTGTTTATGCGTAGTAATTGCATAAAGAACAAGTGGTCTTCCATGAAAAAAGGGCCTTTCCATGATACGTAGATATCAGGTGGACTTTTATCAATGTATTAAGAATCTCTTTATCCAAAAAAGCAGAGTTTGTCTTCTTCCTTGTGCCTGCCTTGTTCCCAAGTAAGGATCATCCCAATAATTTAGGGATCATCCTAGGTTAATGATTCTAAACCACTTAGTGGCATTCTGGTCACACTATTAATCTCCTTAGCAAACTTCTTCACCACCATTTGCAGTGGTATCCTGTTTCTGTTGAAAGAGTAATTTATTCCTACTCATTCATAAACTCCAGAGAATAATAGTAAATAACCAATTCTTGAAAGGGAGGGTATAAAAAAAAAAGGGTTTTAATGCCCTTCTTAATCTTTGTGGCATTAGTGTTTGCTTTTAACTACACATGAAAATTAAGATAAAAAACTTTTTAAATTTAATTAAATCGATATTTGATAGTTTTTAATGTTAAAAATGAAAATTAATCTAAACATATTGGTTGTTAGAAGAAAGAACTTAATTTTAAATACCGGCAAAAAATCAATTTGGGAGGAAGCAAAGAGAATAATTATATATGAAAGAAATTTTTTTATATTTAAAAAGAATAGGGAAAAACAACAAATAAACAATGTAATTTAGTTGGTTTGAGGGATATAAATCAAAATGAGGTGAAAGCACAGGTGTTTCGTGTTCATGGGCTTAACTCGACTCTAATGGTCTTTTTAAGTAGGGTTAATTGGATCTAGGTCCAAACTTAACCCGAGTTGAGTCGGACTAGATACTTGGGCTTAGTTATCGGCCTAGCCCCTAAAAGATTGAAAGTAATAATTAGCAACGGTGAAAATTAGAACACGTCAGTGATAATAAAAAATTGATGGTACTAATAAAATTAGCAACAAACAAAAATATTAGATGTGTGATCCAAGAGGCTTCTAACATTGATAATACAAGCATGGCGTTATTGCTTTTAAAAGATATATACTAGAATGGAATGAGGTTTATCTCTTCAAGCCCCGCGAGGAACAGAGATCTGAACATTGACCCGAAACTCCTTTTGATTTGCCAGACATAATAGATAGAAGAGATAGAAAAAAGAAGATAAAGAAATGGGAGGGTACGCGTTGGGTTCGGCGTTTGATTCAAAATCAGGGCAGATGATAATGGTGGCATTGCTTTTAATGGTTGGCTCTTTCTACGTTGGCAACCTGTTTGGCAACAATGCTCCCATTTACATCACCCAAGACTCTGATACTTATTCTTCTTCACCATCTGTATCTGCATCTTCATCTTCCCATGGTAACTTTCCATCTTTACTACTAGCTCATTATTCACTTGAAATGCCTCATACGCACTTCCAATTCAGTGCCTAGTACAAAGCAATTTATCTCTTTTTAGCTCTTTGATGTGTTTTCGTTGAGTGTTAGCTTAAACTATAAGGAGAATATGGTTTTTTTTTTTCTTTGAGGGTAGATTGGGTGGTCTATTTTCCCAAAACTTTAAGCTGATAGAAAAGTACACAGCTTTTTCTATAATTAAGTTCTAGGGTGGTGAAGTCATAGAAGATGATAAGTTCTTCGGAGGGACTGTTTGTTTTTGTAATCTTTTTTTTTATTATTTTTAAAATTCATAATCTATATTGAAATTTACTGGGCCTTAGTTCTGCTGTGCAAAATATGGCTACAGCTTGTTTATTGATTCTTTTAATGTGCTTACTATATCAAACTATTATTAATGATGCAAACAGTATGTCTAGCAAAAGAGTCAAATTCGAACTTATAGTTATAGTGCAGTATGTAAATTAGCTTCTTTGCCTTGGAAAGGAAAATGAAGAATTAGAACTAAAATGATAAAAAAAATGAAAAAGCAGCTCAAATCAACGGTCTCCTCTATGCATGATGTAAAGCACTAGGTTCATTGCCGGGGAATGTTTGAATTTCAACATCTTTATTAAGATGCTGCTGTAATTTCTGGTATCAATTATACACTGCATCCAATTTTCAATGACTTCAAACTTCAGTAAGACCATAAATGCATGCTATATTTGTAACATCTAGGCCTAATACTTTAAACAGGAGCATGTAAGTTTTGTTTATAAGGTGGAAATATATGAATGTGTACTTACCTCATTTTAGCCTTTGGGCGGGCCCTACCATGAAACTGTTAATAGCTAATAAAGCTTGTAGCCATGTTACTGAGATTTTTAACCGTTTTTGCTTGGGAATGATACACATCTTTCTCCACTTGCAGCTATATCTACACTTATTAACAAAGTTGCTCTTACTTATCGAGAAACACCACTTGTAATCCCACCAAATGGGATGAATATATGTCCATTGAAGTTCAATGAGTATATCCCTTGTAATGACATCAATTATTTGAAGCAATTGATTCAAAGCTTGAATGTTTCCAGAAGAGAAGAGCTAGAGAGACACTGTCCTCCACTTGAAAAGCGTTTATTTTGTTTGGTGCCACCACCTAAAGATTATAAAATTCCAATAAAGTGGCCAGTGAGCAGGGATTATGTTTGGCGAAGCAATGTGAATCATACACATCTTGCTGAAGTCAAAGGTGGACAAAACTGGGTGCATGGGAAAAATCAGCTGTGGTGGTTTCCTGGTGGTGGTACTCATTTCAAGCATGGCGCAGCTGAGTACATTCAAAGGTATATACATTGATATAATTTCACAAATGCTGTACATCTTTCTTGCAATTGCCTTGAGATAAGTATTTTGTGATACTTCAATCATCCAGGCACTGAAATAGGTTGTATTTTTACAAAGTTCGGTGTTACTTTTAAAAATGGTTTTAACCCATAATATAAAGTAGAAACTGTTTGGTGTTAAGCTTTGGGGAACTTTTGGATGGACTATCCATCTTACCAGTTTTCTCCTTGGGAAAGTGCAACAGCCTTCAAAGAAATACATGTTTAAAAAATGGGAAGCCTGAAATGCACCTAAAAAAAAACATATTCAAAAATTGTTCTAGTGATATGCAAAAAAGATATAGATGTGTATTGCAATTTTAAAACATATGATGAAATCTTTGGATGAATAGTTCCTCAAGTTCTGATATTGCGCCACTTCTTTTTCAGTATTAGGGTCTATAGTAACTATTCGTTATTGTATTCTTTGTTTTCTTTTGGTACATATCACGGAGTCCAAGAGGGGAGGAGGGATTTGAACCTTGGACCTTATCTCTGCTTGATAGCAATGGTTATGCCAAGCCTTGGTTGTTTATAATTTTCTTTGTTGACTATATTAGAAAATGTTATATATTGTGGTTATAGCTCCATAAAACATCTCTTCTATGTGATTTTCGGTGGCTTGCCAAAGCAAAGAACACTTTAAATATGCCCATCTGGATGAAATCTGCAAATTCTATGGTTAGATTCCCTGCTTGTTTCCTTTGGATTACTCTGCCAAAAAGGCTATGAATAACTCCTCTTGCTGTCCACAACTCTGTTATTCATGCCAAGAAAAATCAAAAGGAAACCCTGTATTCAAATCATTCTTGAGAATTGAAGAAGATTTCTAGCCCCGGTGGAAAAGTGGGTAGGGGATATATGTATATATATATATATGGTATTACAAGTCTACTTGTAGGATACAGACTTCCATGCATCTGTTTCTGCGTCAGTCAGAATTATGGATGATATTTATTACTGATTTACATATATGTATTTGCTTGCATGTCAATCTTTCTGATTGCTAATGACACCTAATTTTCAAGTTGTTTTTTTTTTCTTTCACTTGGTATATACTTTGACAGCATTAGTTGTCTCGAGTAAAAGAATTTGTGTAGCTAAGCCGAACTAGATTGGGTTTAAGATGTAGTTGGTTTGAGTTCTATTAGCAATGTCTGGACACCAGATAATCTTCTTTATATTTGGCCTGAAGGATTTGAAATTGTCCATTTCCTCCTTGAATCATTAAACTGACTTACTCCTAGGCCTGGTTGAAAATATCAGGGTGTTGAACTGTTGATGAATGGTTTTCGTTTAGGAACTATATAATTGAGTTTATCCATATTTATTGTCCATGCTTTAGGATTTGGAAAAAATTTAACATTTTCTTTTTTAATGTATTTGTACTTTTTTTTTTTATTTCAAGAGGCATTATTAACTTCTTTTTTGTGTAATTTTTGTTTGTGGTATTCCTCCCTGTTGTTGGACATACAGGCTAGGAAATATGACAACTGATGAAACAGGTGACCTGCGTTCAGCAGGGGTAGTTCAAGTTCTAGATGTTGGATGTGGAGTGGCCAGCTTCTCAGCTTATCTTCTTCCCTTGGATATACAAACAATGTCTTTTGCTCCCAAAGATGGTCATGAAAATCAGATTCAGTTTGCTTTAGAGCGAGGAATTGGTGCAATGATCTCTGCCATAGCCACAAAACAGTTGCCATATCCCAGTAACTCTTTTGAGATGGTTCATTGTTCTAGGTGTCGTGTTGATTGGCATGAGAATGGTACTTTTCTGTTTCTGCAGCACACTTTATATTCAATTCAAGTTAACTTTCTGCTGCTGTTCATGACCAAAATGCTCAAATGTTAGATAAATATAACTTTTGGATCTTGCATCAGAAAACCTGTTGTGGATAACATTCACAATATAGAAATAAGGTCACTAGTACCTTATTGGTAGCCACTCATCTAATCAACAGCTGGAATTGATATTTTGGGACCAATACCATGATCTACATCATTAGATTGCTTAGAAAGGTTCTTTATTATTGCAACAAACAAGTTCCTTATCATACCTGTAGCATAAATCTCCACCTATGGATCTAATATTTCTGAAAGTCACTTAATATTGGTAGTTTCTCTCTTTTGTTAAGATAATTGTGACTTTTTCTTCCCTCAAATTGAAGGAATATACTGAAGATTGAAGAGCATAATAGGCGGAACTCAAATGATTTAGTAAAGATATCTAATATTTGTAAGTCTGAACACGACTTAGATGTACTTGACCACATCATGACTGAGTTTCACTGCATAAAGTTGGGAGGTGGAGGGGCAGCTACCTGATGAGGTGACATTTTTTATGATGTGGAAAACATTATTCATGGCTTCCCTATACTCTGATAAGTTGTTGTCAATTCTTGATTTGCAGGTATTGTTATTTTTTGGTGTCAGTGTTAGGTTTGCTAGATTACTAGTTGGATTAAAATGAAAAACACTCAAATATGTGCTGATGAAGTATTTGTATAAGAGCTCCATGGTGGGAAAAAACTTTCCTGTCATTTAAATTGCAAATTTTAATATGCTGATGTCTTGCAGTCCTTAAATATGTTTATGCATTGATATCCTATATGATGCTTATGATAGAGGGGGCTCCTCGCAACCGCCCTCCCTCTGGCTGCTCTCCCGCTAGTCTTTTCCCATTTCAATGCTTATTTCTTGTGCTTTTCTGTACTAGGTGGTAATATGATGTTAAAATGTATACCTGACTCCATAAAACCATTGTTCGACACCAACAGGTTTCAGATATTGCCTTTTTAGCTTTCTTGTACACTATCCTATTCTGCTTTGAGTTTCCTAATCTTAATTTGTATCATATTGTTTCCTTCAGATGGTATTTTACTCAAGGAAGTGAACCGCCTCTTGCGACCTAATGGGTATTTTGTCTACTCGGCTCCACCCGCTTATAGGAAGGATAAAGATTATCCAGTAATTTGGAAGAAGTTAGTGGATCTGACGACAGCAATGTGCTGGAAACTTATTGCTCGTAAAGTTCAGACTGCCATCTGGATCAAAGAGGAAAATCCATCATGCCTTCAGCTTAATTCAGAGTTGAAGCTCATTGATATTTGTGTTGCTGTAGATGAAACTAAACCATCATGGAAGACTCCTCTAATGAATTGTATACAACTAAGACATGCAATAACAAAAACTCGGAAGCTCCCTCCTAGGCCAGAGCGTCTGTCAGTGTATTCGGAGAGTCTCAGTAGAATTGGTCAGTTCAGCTTGCATTTGTTTAAATTTCTTGTTTTAAGATAACTCATATTTTTCCCAAACAAAACAACATGGTTTAATTACACATTTGCTACCTAAACTATAGTCAAATGTTTGATTTTGGCCTCTAAAGTTTAAAAATACACTATTAATTACTCAAACTTTGCTGCTATTTATCAGTCTCCACGTTAGGCTAACTATGTCTTGCTAAGTGCATTTGTGTCACTTCAGTGGTTTTGAGCTTTTTGACTTGGAAGGTTTGCGCTAGGTCACATCACTGAGTATTTTATCCTATTATTTGGGGCATGCACTTGGAGATGTTATTTGATCCAACATGATAGTTGCTTTGCGTATTGATAACAGGCATCAGTAAAGAAGACTTTAGCATGGATTCTGACTTTTGGCAAGACCAAGTACGCTATTACTGGAAGCTGATGAACATTAGCAAGACAGAAATACGAAATGTAATGGACATGAACGCCTTTTGTGGTGGATTTGCTGTTGCTTTGAATGAATTTCCTGTTTGGGTAATGAATATAGTTCCTTCAAGCACACAAAATACCTTATTGGCAATTTATGACAGGGGTCTTATTGGTGCTTTTCATGATTGGTAAGATAATTTTTCTTTTTTTCATTCTCACCTTATTGCTAATTTCCTTGGGCAATACAGGACCAGAGTTTGTGAAGTTCTTTATTAAAAATGATTAAATAATAATTAAAATCAAAAGAAAAAGATGATAGATTGAAAAGTCTTGTTATATAGATGAAGTGTGTAAATTTTGAAAAAAAAAAATTAATAAATTTTGATATATTTTTTAGGTAGTCATTTTTAGTAAAAAATTTTGATAGAATGTATATCATTGAATAAACATTGATCAAATTTGACTTATAAATAGTATGTTCAATTTAATTTTTTTTTACATATTATTGATATTCTCATTAAACTTTATCAATCTATCAGTTTGAATTTTTTATTAAAATTTTAATTGAATCGTTTATAATAAAAAACTTCACGAACTTCATAAAGAGAATTTCATTTAAATTTTTCCCAATATGGTAGTGATTGTTCATGTTGGCTACTTTAGATCTTTAGTAGTTCTGTTAATATGTATATGATTTATCTTCAGGTGTGAGCCATTTTCAACATATCCACGCACATACGACTTGCTGCATGCCAACCATCTCTTCTCTCAATATAAAAATAGTGGTGAAGGCTGTCAGCTGGAGGATATCATGCTTGAGATGGACCGTGTTTTAAGACCTCAGGTGATTGTTTTCATAAAGTTTTCCTTTCATTAGTAAATGTTACATTTGAATGTCACGGTCATTGAGATGGTGACAGTATTTCTGTGGTTAGTTGAGAAGCAATGGCTGGACCTATTAAGCATTCTAATTTGAATCAGGCAGTTGCTGTTTCATGAGTAGCGTCATTAGCATCTCAAAAAGAAATATAGTAATCAGTCAGTTGTTCATACATTTTGGATTGAATTTAGATTCACTGATATGGGGTTCTCTCTTCAATCTTTACCTTATTTCTTATATATCTCACTGGAGTTCCTCTATTTCAGTGTTTCTATCTGATATTATGTCTATTTTCTATCCTTTGTTCGACCTCAGCTACAAACGCAATGACCAAAGTAACGATTCATGGGTTTTTTTTCTTTTTTGGGTGTCATATACCAGCGACTATATCTACTGGAGGTGGACTAGAGACTGACATCCAATAACATCTGTGCTTGATTTGTTACTTGGTTTATAAGCCAAGCCGCATATTCTGGTTTTAACATTCACTGCACACTTTTTTTTTTTCTTAGGGATTTGTTATAATTAGAGATGAAGATTATTTTACATCAAGAATTCAAGATCTTGCTCCGAAATTTCTGTGGGAGGTTGAATCACATGTTCTGGAAAACAAGGAGAAGCAAAGAGAAACTGTGCTAATTTGCAGGAAGAAATTCTGGGCTATTGTTTAACAAGTTACTGCACAAAAATGCATTACTAATGCTGCTCTTTCTGCAGCCCCTCCAAGCCAAAGGTCTATAGTTACTCTTGTACCATGAGTTTCAGTTTTTGTTCTCCTTTTTACCCCTCTAATTTGTAAATACTAACCTTATTAGTGCGAGGAAAAATTGATTTATTGCTTGGTCATCATGGAGTAATTTGTAAATGTTCTACTGTTAAAATAAAATCAGCAGATTCTTATGGTGCACATGCAGTTAACTACTATTTTTTTTTACGGTAAAATCATTATATTATTAACAAAACAATCCCCTTCTTTCCTCTAATTATTTTGATTTTTATTGAAAAAATGGTTACAATTCTAACAAATGACGCTTGCCTCTTCCTCCGTAGAATTCTGATTTGATCCCAAATGAAGTGATTTTCATTAAAAATATATATATTATTTTGGGCAAAACAAGAAAAAAGAATAACTGTTACAATCTAAATAAATTCAAAGACCACGCCAAATGGGCTGAACTTCTATATATTGGAACTGGGCTTCTATAATCAGAGGAATTTCTGCCAAGCTTCAGCCGTTAACAATGAAAGTAGAAGCTTCCATCTTTGTTTAGTCTTTGATATGACTTGGGGTAACTACATGAATTAATTGAGTAAATAATATGATAACAAGTAGTAGTCCACACCCCTTCAGATAAACTCTTTCAACTTTGAGTTAGACACTTTTACTGGAGACATATATAGAGAGAGATGACTTGAGTCTTTGGAGTTTGGAGTCAGTCCTTGAGGTAGCTAACCATGCAATACAATACATAAAAGGTTCCCCAATGGAACTAAAACACCTGTTGAAATTCCTTACTGAACAGAGAATTCCCATCTAACGTTTTCTAGCCGTTAAACCAAGCAATCTGGTTCTTTGTTTTTTCTGGCTTACGATGATTTAGGGGGAGGGCTTGCCGTGCAGGGTTTCTAGGTGTTATGGGTGAGATGTAGAGCATAGGTAAAGAAAAAACTATATAAGAGTGGTTAGAGGAAGCTTTTTTTTTTTTCAATGGCAAGAAAAACGTTTAAGAATTTAACAGGTGTTCCAATTTTATTGGGAAACCTAAGCAAAGAAGCTAAGGAGTTTTGCTCATAAAATGGAGGACAATCAAGTAATTTTAATTAATAAATTATAAAGAGGGAGCAGCAAGCAACAGGCAAGAAGCAAGGAGAGAAAGGAATGACAGTGTGAAAAGAGATGCAACTCAAAAGAAAAACTGATATGACAACTCAACCTCACGCTTGTCTCCCTACTGCCTTTGCCCCCCCCGCCCCCCCTCCCCTCGCCCCCATTATTTCTTGCTTGCTGCTTCAATAACCCCCTCCCCCTTATTGCCTTCTTCTTCTTCATTAATCTACCATTTACTTGATCATTTTATTGCTTCTATCCATAATCCATCATCTTCTTTTTCTTCTTTTGTGCATTTGCATGGACATGGAAATCGCAGCTCCCTCATTTGTTAGACTTTTGGCCCATACTCTACAAACTTACAGAGCATTTGTTCTAAGAAAGAGATTTTTTTGACTATCATTCATGTCTTTACTTTTATACACCACGAATTAAAAACCAAACTATAGTTCAGTGCTACATGCTTTTATTAATTTGATATAAACCAGCTGATTTACATACCAGCTTTAATGGATAGAAAGAAAGTCATAATTTGAGAATAATAAAAGAGGTTACAATTATTGGATCTATTGAATGTTATCTTTAAAAATATATGTACCGACAAGATAAATTTCAAATTTAAAATCACAATAATTTTGATTTGTTGAGACAGGAGAGGTGATTTTTCTCTCTTCCCACCCTTAATTTGACAGAGACATTATGTGAGGAAAAAAGCAAATGGTCAAGGGTAATACACCAGTAACATATGAGATAGAGAAAGAGAGGATGAACATATGATTTCATTGTTTTTTTTTTTTTTTAATTCTTTAGAATGAATAATTGTGTAGGTGGGATCCATGTAGATTTTATCTGTGATTTTATTTGATATGACTGAATAATTATCTCGTAAAAAATAAGATAAGAATCTTTTTTTTATTTTAAATTTTTTAAAAGAAATTTTTTTAATTTTAAATTTTACGTGTGAATACAAATTATGACGTAATAATTTTTATGTTTGACACAAACAAACATAATGTAAATACAATGCAACTGTTATAGATTTTTAAAATAAAAATGTGTTTGTCGACATTACTTAACATTTTTAGAGCTATTTCTTATGTTGAAATTTCTTTGTCCAGGTGGATGTGGTTGGCAAAATTTACTTTTGCTCTTTTCAAACCACTTGCTCGATCTCCTAATTAGTACATATGATTCTCTCGACAAAGCATTTTAGCATCATCAAAGAAGGACTGAAATGTTTTAAAGTTATTTTTAAAATTATTATATCGAATAATATATTTATTCAATGCCTTAAAAATTATCAAATTAACTATCAACTACTGTATTTATGATAAAAATGTTGTTATAAATGGTATATTAACTATATGTAAAGAGTGAGTTAAGAAACTCGTTAAAACTATTAATTAATTAACCCAAGTATGGTAAACTAGAATGTTTCAATAATTAGTGGTAATTAAAATAAGTTTCAAATTAGTAATTAGTACTATCCTTTTATGAACGTGCTATAGAGCCTATGGCTAGAAACAGAAAGCTTTACTTTATTAGCTGCAAAAACACACACACAGACATACCTTTATATGCTTCTCTTTATCCAAATTAAAGCTTTAATTTAGTTAATGCATATGTTTTTGCTTTGGTCTAATCAATAAAAAGCAAACTGAAAGCTAAGGATGACAAATTGTTGATAATGTCTTCGATCTTAGCCAAAAGGCTGAGAAAGTTACAGTTCATAGGATACTCATAATGTCATCATGCAAAAGCCCTCCAAGTTTCATCCCTTTTTTTTTTTTTTTTTTTTTCAATTTGGGGTGGGGTCTTGCTGATGTTCTTCCAAATCCCATCGCCCTTAACAGAATTAACATGTAAAATAACTCAATCCAAGTCATCAATGGCACTCAAAATAAATTTAACTATTTCATTTTTATTTTTTAGTTCATAGGGGTAAGTTCAAGAGAAAGAATATAGAATTGGAACTTGGACCTTATCGTGCTAAAGGTAACAATCCTTTCCCGTAGTTTTTAAGACAATGCTATCATGGAGGGGGAGAAGGAACCAACGACTTTATTGATTGAGGTAAAAACAAAAGCAATAGACAGAACAGTTCATAGCTGAGTTAAGTCAGGTTTGATCGAGTCTGGACAAAAGATTAAGACTGTTTGCTCGAGAGCGGCCGACCTGAAAATTCAGGTCCTAAATCTTGTCTAGGATGATCCAAGTTATAACTAATGTTACTGTTAATTATAATAAAAATAAAAATATGTTATTTTGTATTTAATCCTTAATATTTTTATCTTTTTGTTTTATTAAATTTAAAAACAAATAATTTAACATATTTATAATATTATATTTTTTTATATAATATAAATTATATAAAAATATATATAATACTTTGAGTCGAGACGAGCTAAGCTTGAATCATAAATGTAGGAGCCAAAGTTGCCTATTCTTAAACGAACCTCAATTGTTTGTTTGAGTTCGTTTAATGGGTTTATTTTTTGCCAAACCCCCCCCAAATATTGAGTGGCCTTCGAAATTAAGAGATTCAAAACTAAAAACGTACTTCAACCCTTAAACAGGTTTAGTAATAAGTTGAAGAAATATATATATATATATATTTATTTATATTTTAGAAGAACAACTAAAATCATTTAAGCAATACAAGTATTAGGTTTGCTACTCTTACGAATAAAATTATTTTTCCACTTAATATAAAGAGATAATCTCTAAAGCTTATGAGTAAGTTTATATATATATATATATATATATCTCGGATATTACTCAATTAAGTCCTTTATAGGGAGATGTTAATTGAGAATATGACTAATAACGATTGCTGGGGAAAAAAAAAAAAAAAAACGAAAGCAGTAAAGAGAAAGAGGTTTCATGTCATCCAAGAAAAAAAGGTAATTTCATAATAGCTTGAAAATGAGAGATAATTAACATAAAGTTTGATGAGATGTTTCAAAATGCTTGACAATGAGGACAATTTCATTCCCATATGCGATAGGTCAAAACCTCAAAAGCACTAATCTCAAACAGTGAAAATCCTCTATCTCTCTAGGAGGGCCAGGGGCCAAATGAAATAATAATTAAAACTGTTGGTGGTAGAAGATAATAATTAAGTAAAAAAGAAGAAGATGATGATGTTTATTCAAAAGCTATTAATTGTTGCAAACTCTAATTATCTCCTCATCTTTCCACTTGCTTATTTTGTTAATCATTTGTCTTCATATTGCTTTAACACTTAAAAGGTGTTGTCTAACTTCCATTTTGAGGCATAAAAAGCACTTTGTGCTTGCTTTGCTCTGTAAAAAGCATGTTAGAATCCAATACCGTACTGCCTAAAGTTTGGCAGGGCAGGGCAGGCCCAATTCTCCATTTCTTTTTTTTTTTTTAAAAGATATGCCAAGATTTTTATAGCATTTAGCTCTTAAATTAATTAGTATGTTAGAAAGTTTATGGAGCCAACCAAATCTTCCTTTACCTATTTGTGCAATAATCATTCCAAAGGTATTCGTATAATAATCTGACAAATGCAACAAATTGTAGAAAGAAATTTCCACTTATTTCTTTTTCTTTTTTTTTTAAGCTTTTGTACCGCTTTTGTTTTCCTTTGGGTTTTACCTTTTGTCGCAAGTTGCTAAAGAAATGAAGGGGTTTTACATGACTTGTCTTATCAAAATCTTAAAAGAGAAAAGAAGCATTGATCCCTGGATTTTTTTTTTTTTTTTTGGATTACATTCACAAGTAAAATTATAATCATAATCCTACAGTACTCAACGATGCATTCCCATGTGACGACTCAGTGAGTGTAGCATAGTTGTATCATACATGGCTTTAATTTAGAACTCAACATTTTAATAGTCCTTGATTTCTATTAATATTAATAGTCCAAAAATTGCGTAACCAGAATTCTGGTAGATGTTCAAGAGAGAGAGAGAGAGAGAGCCCTACAATGGCCCAATCTAGGGTACTATACTTAATTATAGGTCATTTTGGAGACAAAAAGGCTACCATTTTCAACAGTTTCATGACAGTTTTTTACGTGATCCACATCCTATAACATGTGGATACTCATTCTTCTAGTAATAGTTCTA